GGATTTCCTGAGACCTCCAATTCTGTTAAGGCCCACTTACAGCCCTCAGCAAGAAGTCCTCCAACTCATCCCGAACCCCACCTGGACGCCACACTTCAAGGGGTTTCCCTATAGTTCCTGAAAACGGTAGGAGTTTCTGGCCGCAAGGTGCCAACCCTTCACGCCAACAGCCCTACCAATTTAAGAGTTTACAAAAGCAAATGACAATACACAAGTATGCGTTAGAAGGGGCCCCCACCCTGTAATAGTGGTATAATAGGAATATAATAGGGCCCTGCTATTATCCTTATAGTCACTATTGCAGGGTGGGGGCAGCTTCTAAAGTATACGTTTTTTTCTCTGGGGTTGGAGGGAGGCCCCGAACACATGGAATATAGGATCCTTAAGGGAGGGTGGTTCAAGGGGGGAGGGTATAAGGAATCCTTAGGGGACTGTAAGGGAACCTTAGGGAGTACTAGGGAGAATTAGGGATCACTAGGCTATATACCCCCCTTGGACCCCCCTCCCTGAACCCTAAGGGTCCAAGTGCCCAAATAGTAGGATTTCAAGGTCCGAAAACAGTTGAGAGTATGGATTTTGCTACCTAAAACCCTACTATTTGGGTACTTGGACCCTCTGGGTTAAGGATATTACAAAGGGAGCTCTAGACCTGGGGCCTAGGGATTGGCCCCATGGTGTCGGCTGGCCCTAACCCCTAAACTCCTAAACCCCTAAACCCTCAACCCCTAAACCCTAAACCCTAAACCGTGTCGGCTGGAGGGTTTAGGCTTTCGGGATTTATGGTTTACTATAGGGGCCTGAAGAATTAGCTGTACTATTTTGGGGGCTCCTTACTCAAATTATTGCACAAAGGGCCCCAAAATCCTATTCTAATCATTGAAGGCTCTACATTAGGCCTTTTAGGATTCAAACCCCCTGAACTGCAAACCCAACTCTCAAAACCCCAGCCCATCAGCCTGAACCTCAAACAAAAGGACCCCAGCCCTTAACCTTATAACCCTACTTGGAGGGTCGGGGGACTTAGTAAGTAGGTAGTAAGTAGACTTATAAGTACCCTAAAAGGGACCCTAATTGGGGTTATGGTACTTATAAGCCCTTAAAATAACCAGTTACTAAGTCCCCCGACCCTCCAAGTATAAACCCTAACCCCAAGCCCCAAGCCCAACAAGCATGCCCTTCGATGGCCCGCTGGCAAGCTGTACTTTGATCTGCAGTGCAAGAGGAATCGTGCAACGGTTCCTTTGAGGTTTACCTGGACCCCATTAGACCTTCCTGCTCAGGCTCAAAAAAGTATGCGATTTGGGGCAGGCGAGGGTTAAGATTCAGGGTTAAGGGCTTCGAAGGTTCTTTGAAAGCTTTTAGGTGTACCGATTGGGTAAACGGTTTTCTCGCGGGGTAGGGTTTTAAAGCTTCTTGACCCAAACACCATACTACATGAGGCGTTTGGCACAATCTGAGCCCTATAGGGTAATGTTGTCTATGGTATTGACGTTTCAAGGTTTCAGGTGTTCAAGCTGTCCCTGCTTAAGAACCAGCAGATCGGGTATGCGTACCTTCTGGCTTCCTTCATTGATTCCTATGGGGGGTCCAGGGCATCGGGCACTGTATACTTTCAATGGCAGGAACCGTCAGCCCAAGGTTTAACTGAGGAGTTGCCCGATTGTGGGATTTGTGCGTCAACCTAAAGTTCAGAGGATTGTTTCGATTTGTTATGATTTCCTACTCTGGGGTTCTTTGAGTTTACGGGTTTAAAACCCGCACACTTCCTCTTGCTTGCCATGTTGTTAATGCCCTTCGGCCGGTGACTTGTCAAGGTTTGTGCCTGTAGATGTTCGTGGCTTAACAGAGCACGGCTTGAACCCGGAACCGTAAACCCTAAACCCTAAAGACTAAACCCTAAGCCCTAAACCCTGCACGCTGAACCCTAAACGCCACTTAAAGGAGACTTAAAAGCTCAGGGACTTATAGTAAGTAGGGTTATTTCTGGGACTATAAGTACCTTAAGTAGGCCTACCCTATACAACCTTACTTGCCTGAGTTTCATGAGCCTTTTAGTGACGATTTTAAACATGCTTCCGAATCCATCATTATATACTCCATAAGACCTCAATCCCAGAAGCTACGTGTAGAACCGACTGCCAGATTAGAAGTATATGTAAGTAGGACGAAAGGAAGCCCCAAGAGGTTTATGGATCGAATACCCAGTGGCTCCTCGTATACCACCATCATGGTATTAGTTCCCAAAAGCCCGTCATTACTATGGTTTTAGGGACCTAGTTCCACAATGGTAGTATATGCGGAGCCTTCAGGATCTTGTCAAAGACTAGATTGGGGTTCATAGCGTAAGGGCTTAGGGCTTGGGATTTAGGGTTTAGGGTGCATGGTGCATGTTCAAAATCCTAATATATAAGGGCATAAGGGTTCCTAGTATAAGGGTATAATTAGAGCCCTTACTTACAGGGGTCATCTTCGTCATTATCGTAGGTGCAGGTAGAAGTGCCCGTAAGCGCGATCCCTGGTTGTGGGTCGGCTGATATCAGACTCCCTAAGTCCCACGGTCACCTCTCTCTCTCTCGCTCTCTTTCTCCATTCTCTCTTTCTCTGGTTCTCTGTCTCTCCCTCTCTCTCGTTCGTTCTTTCTTTCTCTCTGTCTCTCTTTCTTTCCATGTCCCTCTACATATATACCTGTTTATACATGTATAGACAGATAAAGATAGAGAGACAGAGAGACGGCGAGAAAGAGAGGGGGAGCGAGACTAAAATGCACGATCACGGCGACAAGCCCCAGATGCTTGGTTGCATACATCATGAGATATTTTGCTGGGACGTATACGGCGTAATGCCGGCTACCTTGCCCTGGATTCTCTAAGGGTCCATGTACCTATATAGTATATACATGGGCCTTAAAGTAGTCCCTATATAGGTACTTTAGGGCCAAAGTATCTAGTATATGGGTAGATGGACCCTCAGGGATTGCTAAACATTCAACCGTACTACTCCATCGAATACGGATCTCGATGAGCTGCGGTCTGTATAGACTTTTGTATTCTACCCTCGCGACACCCATAGGCATAATTGACAATTAGAAACAGCATAGATGAGCACAATGCCCTATTTAACAACGAAAACTACGGTACAACAAATCAAACCTTGCTGAGCCACCGTGATTCCCTGCTGTGCAGCGGGACCTCCCTGATGGGATACGGATGGAGCCGGGAACTTGCAACGCTTGCGGCCTCCTAGGTCGCCAAAGCACGATCTGAAACTCCAGACCTTAGGCTACACCGCCTTTGAACCCCAAAGCCTTGAAGTCTGACACTGCACCGTCCACTGAAAGTTGGCCTGGCACCCTAGTCGCGACGGTTAACGAACCAAGCACTGTCCAGTCAAGCTGATACACCGAAATGAGGCTAAATTCAACACATCAATGGACATGATTGCAGGCCCCCCATCTGAACATTAAGAAGCCCAACACATGAACCGTACAGATTCTCAGCCTCAAGCCCCACGGCCTTGTTGCGGCATTTGGAGTTCGCGTGATGCGTTGTCAGCGGCTCGGCAGATTCGATTCAAGTCGGCGAACGGAGGGAAACCAAGGGAATGGATCGTGCAAGTCGGGTTTAAGGCTTAACGCACTGTCGCTGTTGGCAACCCAGACCCTGTAATTATGCAATCTGGCAGGCCCCGAGCCCAATAGTATATGATCAGTATCTGATATAAGGTATAGCCCGACCTCCAACATAGTAAGTTGTCGGACTAAACGGTATCAAAAAGCCCTAGAAAGTATGAATCCCCAAGGGTCCAAATACCCAATAAATACATACTCTTCAAAATCCTAACCTACATAACTATATACTGTCCCAAAACCGAGTACCTAATTATTGGGTCGTTTGGACGCTTGGGCCTAAACCCTTTACCCCACACCCCTAAACCCCCTAAACCTCTATACCCGTAAATCCCTAATCCCGAAGCCCCTCGTCGAGCCGTTGGAGCCTCAGGGTTAGGCTAGGGAATCCTAAATTTTCCAGTCTTTGAGTTCGTGGGGTGAAGACCTGAGTCGTAGAATATAGACCTGTCTGGGGTTCCCTAAGGGTCCATGTTCCCAACTAGTATACACTTGGGCCTTAAAGTACTCCCTGTATAGGTGTGTTGGGCCCAAAGTATATACTATTTGGGCACGTGGCCCCTTCGGGGTTTAGCAGCTGGGGGTGTCGGGCCGAATTTAGGGATTTAGGGCGTAAGGGCTTGAGGCTTAGGGCGTTTTGGCAGAAACTCCCAAATCCCGCAACCCCAACAAGACTACCGCAAGTTGAATTGAGGCTCGAAGTGGAACCGAAGCCACTCATTTCGGTGGGTTCAGGGCATGTCAATGTGGTGTTTGGGGACGGGGCCCATGTGTGCTTGATATGTAAGTATACATAGAGATGTATAGTGTGAACATACATATGTTGTATATGTATATATATATATATATATATATATATACATAGTCATTGTTATTTGTTTTTTGTTTTCCGTCTCTCGTGGGAAGTGAGGGTGGGAGGGCGGGCCGTGCACTACCCATCCACGGCCACGAGCTTCCCTGTGTGTAGCTGCCTGGCATGCGCCATGGAGGTGCCAACTTACTGAATTTGCTCTGTAGTGTGTTTGTATAAAAGGCTGCCAGAGAGGGCATTCAAATTGTTGTTTGACTGTGGTCTCTGATAGTGTTCATTAACTGTTTTTTGTTGCGGTTTTGTTTGGTGGGGTTTCACTTCTGGGCCGGGGTCGAGAATGGAGTGCTCCTTGCCTAACACCCAAATCGTCTAGGGTTGACAGTATTCCAGGATTCGGGCTGCAGGGTTTCTGGTCTCCAGGGTTCCATACGACATGAAAGTACGGGTTTGGACGAAGCGTTAACCTCAAGCGTATACATTCCTAAATAGAGCGAGTCAGCATATACTGTATGTGCACATGTGACAATCTATGTGTACACGTGTGCAGACCGCTGCGTGCCAGCAATGAAGTACGCTTGCTTTACCTTAGCGCCTGACGACTATAGGGGCCCTTGTTATTATAAGCTACAGCTAGACTACCTAACATACCCCGAAACCGCGAAATCTTAGTCCAATGGTTAAGGCTTTAGGGTCCCTTCCAAGTCAGTGTTAGTACCATAGAGCACAGTGTCTGGTACTACATTGAGGCAGCACAAGCCGAAGAGAGTTCCACCATAGGGTTCAGAGTTCGGAGGTTCAAGAAAAGCAACGGAGGTTTCAGATGAGCTTAGATTTTTTTTGAACCACTCCATACCCCTCCCTTTTCGTAAATACGTGGAAACCGTCATAAAGAATCCCTAAAGAGAGTTAAAGCCGCAGCTCTGAGCCTCCGAAGCCTTTTCCGCTCCGACCTGCGATGACTCTTCGGCTCGAAGGTCACCCCGTCCGGCCTCTGGCAGCTAGTTGCCATCGCCCTTCCCATATTTTTAGCAGAGAACCGGCGCCTCGATACTTTTCCCTACCGACTTCAGCGCCCGAGTTTCTGCAATGCTGCGTGGCCGCATGAGATCGGAGACGGGGGGGGGAAGCAAGGGCTGACATGGTTGCTTACTCTCCCCATCTAGCCCCGTATATAGTTGTATGAATAATGTAGCCAGGAGGGTCCAAGGACTCAAATAGTAGTTTGGGTATCAAAAACCATTCTGACTACGGGATTTGGGAGCTAAGACGATCCTTGGACTATTTCTGGGTAGTATACTTTCCTCGAAATCCATTCGAAGCATCAAGGCTCTATAGTACTTGGAAGGGCAGGGGACTTAGTAAGTAGGTTATAAGTAGAGTTGTAAGTACCCTAAATAGAGTTACCCCAATTATAACCCTACTTATAACCTACTTACTAAGTCCCCTGCCCTTCCAAGTAGGGAACATAGTGGAACTGAGACTCTGCCTTTCTTGAAATGCCAGGCCGTGGTTTGGAATCATGCGCAGGGTTTGGGGCTGCAGGGTGCAGGGCTTTAGTATAGGGTTCAGGTTTGGGGCAACCCTAAACCCTGAATCCTGATAAAGCAAAATGAGATACTGTCAAAATCCAGAGCCCGAAGAAGCACACTCTAAACCCCTGGCAGAGTGCCGCGAACCCCACACTGTAGGGCCCTAGGCCCTAAACCTCTAAACTCCGACAAGGATTCCCAACACCATCGCAAAGAAGTGCTCCCTGGTCCGTGGCATGGGTGCTGCGCATCGACTGGCCCAGTGCCTGGGATGCAACAGCACCAGAGCCTCTTCGGTTGCCTAGCCACATCACAGAGTAATTGGGGGCTTATTTGTAAGGCTCTAAGAGTGTTTCTGGAGTGTGTTGTGGGGGCTTTACGGTGCCAAAGAAATCAATCACAGGTGCTTGTCAATGTCGGCGAGCATTGCTATTGTGGGGAATCTCTGTCGGTTTAGGGTTCAGGGTTTTGATTGAAGGTTTGCATTAGCGATCATTAGCGATGAACTCCGCATCCAGGGGAACGCTGCATCCCGGGGAATGCTGACGAATCAAAAACCCAGAGGATCAGAGGAGACCAGTACCCTAAGGCTCTAAGGACTCATATTCTAAGGCATCTGGGCCCAAAGACCCTGCTATCTAAATAGGGCGTTTGAGGTAATTTGAGCCTGAGAGGCAGAGTCAGAGTTCGGCAGCCACATACTCTTGAGAATACTTGCAAGTTAATTACAACTCGCATACCAAATCTCCTATGCCTCTCAGTACAGTAAACCCCATAACGTTGGAAACCGGATGAAGGCCAAATAGCGCTGGGATTCCCTATACATTACTCTTAAGGATTGAGGCTATAGGGTTTCCAACTCTTGGGCTTCTACTGTAGGTCTACGGGTCCAATACCCTAACAGGCATATACTCTCCCAAATACAAACGTGGAGCTTGAATCTGTGCGGTTGCTTTGTATATTGGTTCCCGTACGTAAGTCCATACTCAGCTTTCGGTACCATGCCTGAAATGAAATGTAGCCACAGTACAAATTCTCCCAGGCATAGCTGTATTTTGGGAATCTAATGAACTAATGAATCTGATGTCTGCATATGACATATTCCCCTCATATGCTACCCTACGCCAGTACTATCCTAAGCCCGAAAACCCAATTGTCAGGCAGCTGCTATAGCAGATTCCTACATTAAGCTTTGCAAATTCCGTGTAGGCTAGGGGGATTGCGTTCCAGTATGGGTTGCAGGATAAATGAGATTGTTGGGTTTGCACCGTTTAAACTGCCAGGGTCTAAGTACCCAGGCATCATGCACTCCCCTTTCATGCAAACTTACAGTGCTGCTATCCTAGTACCCAATTTGGGTGCCCTGTCTGTCTTTAGGGCAATGCAGGTGCAGCCCCCAAAATTCGACTGCGCATGCGACAGCCGTGCTGCTCTCAGAACCCAACTGCCAGCTCTGTGTTCATAGAAGCCCAACTACCTAAAAGAAATGATCTGTCCTAGCATGTGGCGCATGCCTGGACCTTTTTGCAGCGACTTGCATGAACGTGGCATCATGCCAAATTCCATAAAGTTTCCGGGGTCTAACCTTATCTGCGACATGTACCCTGAAAGGGTTTAAGGGTCAATTGGGATATGGGGGGTTCATAGCGGAATGGTATAGATCCCCTTCGTCCCTGAACCCTAAGCCTTATAAACCCTTTCAAGGGTCATTTGGTCCCTGCCGAAGGGCTCAGGTTTTAAGGTTGCGTCTCAGAATGTGGGGACATTGACGCTGGATTCATTATTCACATGCTCGGATAGTTCGCGGGATGGCAAGTGGCTTGATGCTTAGCGAAAAGGACCACAGCACTCGTACGAGAGAAGTGCAGCTTCGACGCCCGGTTATCTATGGTAGGTTTCCGGGTCGCAGGTCGGGTGGTTCATGTACCCCGAAGAGCCATGTGCCCCTAAGGACTAGTTTCAAGCCAAGGCATTTACTATATGGGTGCATTGACCCTTGAAACCCTAGACCCCAAACTCATCATGGTACCCTTGCAGACCCCTTCAAGGAACTCTTAAAGGACCATGTATGAGAAATCTCCATCAGCTGCTGATCTCGCACTCGCACGGGGACACACAGCCTGACTTTGCCATCATCAAAAAGAAGGCGGCGACTGGCAAGGCGATTCACACAAAGGCACTAATTAACCCTAAACTCTAAACCCTAAGGCTCAGAATGGCCGAAAAGCCTTGTATAATATGGTCTTTAGGCCCAAAAGCCTTAATATACGAGTGCTTAGAGCCTTAGGGTAAACCCTTTCCAGGCGATCGGTGGACGAGAGCCATTCCTGCTCAGTGAGACTGAGAGGTTCGTCCACCGGCACAGCCCGAGCACAAGATCTCTGAGACACGGCTTCTGGGACAGAGTCGTGGCGGATTCCGGTGATCCAACCAGATCCTCCGATGCAAGCATGCCATGGTGACTTATATTGCAGGCACTTCATACGATGTAACCGCATAGAAAATTGAACACGAGTGTGATCTTTAGGTTGTGTATGTGTGTGTGTGTGTGTGTGTGTGTGTGTGTGTTTGAAGTGAAGCTTACCTACTGTAGCGGCGAGGAGGGAATCTAAGCATTGAGCAAGAGTAGCCGACTATCTAGCCCTCAATCTCTAAATCCCTAGAGCCCTAACAAGCTAGGTAAATGGTCTGGGTTTCTAGGGTTAGCCCGCACTGAAACCCTAAAGCCCCAACCTGCCTAGACCCTAGAAGAAGAACCTGAGGCAACAAAGAGAGGTACTAGAATATTGGGTCTACTTGGAGGTTCATAGACTTTGTATAATGGGGTCATGAGTACCTTAACTGGGGGTATAAACCGTCATAAATATAGTTACCGTATAGTAACACTAGTTACTAAAACCCATGCTCCTTTACATAGGTAGAGCCCGAAACAGATCGATGCGCGAGGCCTACTCTACGACTAAGTCGTCGTCCAGCCAGGAGACTCGACAGTAAGAGGAACTAAGGTTCAGGGTGTCGGGTTCGGGGCTACCTCGCTCTCTGAAAGTATAGCCCCGCTTGATTTTGCCAGAAAATGCACCCTAAGTTCCGATTACTTACGACCGCAACAGTTCACACAAGGGTCCGGACAACGCCCGGAAGATACCATATCATGATGTGTAGCCTGCAAATCTTCTTTTTTAGTATTAAGTAAGTACTACCCGTAGCCTAAACCGAAGTACCTACGCCTTAATCCTAAACCCTGTAAGCGCCCAAGTTGACCCTAACCCTAAACCCCTCAACCCTCAACTCGAAGTCTTACAGGGAACTCCAGAAAGTTGGAATATGGTTTCAGGGTAGGATACCCTATAATTTACCATAAAGGGTTTAGGAGAATCATATTCCAACTTTCTGGCTTTTACTTTAAGCCTCCAAACCTCAAGTATCTAATTTGGGGGCCTTGGGCCTCACGAAAAGACTTCATTGCGGCCTTGGAGCTCGAGTCCTCAAGTAATTGGAGTCGGGGTTTGGGGGCATTCTAAAGCATACTACACCGAGGAATATAGGGTTTAGGGTCAGGGATTTCAGGGTTGAGGGTTTAAAGGGAACAGCATTGGGATTTTAGCCCGTATGGCTATATTCCTGTTTAATTTCGTTGAATAGTGCCTGAAATGAATTATTTGGAGCCCGAAATTGTTGCCCTACCTAAAACATAAGAAACATACCTTGTTAAAGCCCGTTACACTGATTTCCTTGCAAAATCAGCCCCTATCTCTAGAGCGGCGGGCTTTGGGGGGTGAAAGTAGGGTTTAGGGTCAAGGTTCGGCACCGGATAAGGTTGCCAAGAGGATCCCAAGTACCTACATGGGGGGAATACTTACCAAAGCCATCATGGTGCAAGTAGTTCCTGTTATAGAAGCCCTATGTTCTGGTATGTAGGTACTGAGGACCACTCTGGTTTTCGCATATTATGACAAGATACCCTAAACCCCAAGCCCCTGAGCAGGATCTTAACAGCAATAGGGTGCACCAGTAATGATGGCACGGGCTCCACATGTGGGTTTGGAATCTCGCGAGGAGAGCACGCTGATCGCACGGGTCAAGGACTTTGCAGCCAATGCTGCCGCAGATTCTTGGCTGTTCTCAGGTTCCAGGTAGTAAGTAGACTTATAAGTACCCTAAAAGGGACCCTAATTGGGGTTATGGTACTTATAAGTCCCTAAAATAACCAGTTACTAAGTCCTCCGACCCTCCAAGTAAGGACGAGAACCAAAAAAGGGCTTAAGGTTCATGTGCCATGCAGGATTCATAGAGTAAGAGTGTAGTGCCCCTACTTGTGATGGCCATGTGGCCCACAAGGTTAAGGACGTAAGAGAATTCAAGGTCGTGTAGGGTTAAAACTATAGTGCTCATAGGGTTTTATGGGGGAACCTCAGCAAGCTGTCATACCATGAGCTCAGACTTGTTTGAAAACTCCTGCCGCAGCGATTCAGGAGGTCGCGGTTCAGCGTTTGACGATCCGTCTTCAATGCAAGGCTTCAGATGTTTAAGATTCATCAGTTTCGGATGAGGTTGCGGTGCTAGCTGATCATAGTTCATTAGAGTGAGTTGGAATTCTAGGGGCTTTGAAACCCTGAACTCCTACCGAATCCCGGAACAAACCTTTGCATATTCATGAACCCTAATCTAATAAATGTTCTGGAGCTTTAATATGGGTAGATCACCGAAGGAGACGTACTCCGCGGCGATGCTGCAAGCCTTGGCGCCCTATGGCACTTCCTGTCCGCGGAGTGCATCCTCTACAAACGCCCCCGTGGCCCAGAATGCATACCTCACTTAGCGGCTCAAGGGACAGGGTTATGATTGGGGTTATTATCACTCTCAGACGGGTTCTCCTAATCGCAGCAATATTGTTAACTTTACTGACTAAGACCCATTAGCCTTGAGGTAGACTCTCCGGGCTACGACCGCAGGGCATGTGCTGGGTATCGATTTGGGATTTTACTATACTAAAGATCTTAAACCGCAACCCCACAAAGGAACTAACTACAATGGAGACTATATAGGTAGCTAGTGTGAGACCGCATCCTAAACCCTAAACACTAAACCCTAAACCCTAAACCCTAAACCCTAAACCCTAAACCCTAAACGCATCCTAAACCCTAAACACTAAACCCTCAGACCGCATGAAGCCCTGAACCCTCATCGGTCTCAGGTGCGACCTCGCTCGTCGCGGCCTTGGGAGCTGCGGAGTGGTGAGCTGTAGGGATTTGCAACGGATCTGCAGGGCTTCAGGGATTTATAATGAGGGGTCTTTAGAAGGATTGCATAGGGGAGCTATAGAGTATAACTATCGAAACTCATGGACCCTGAGGCTTTGAGGGCCAAAGGCCGTAGAGCAACAGGCTTCCGGGCTAGTTTCTGAGGGGTACTTAGAAATTATTTGTCAATTTTTGGTTATTATAGTCCCTAAGAAACAGCTAAAATTATTAATTTTTGCTAGGGTTCTAAAGTTCAGTATAGGTTTGAGCTGCAGTCTGAGGGTCTCAGCAGCCAAAGAGTCGACACGTGGGCCTGTCGGCGCACCTCGACCCTGCTTCTACCCTCTACTCAACCCTAAATACCTAGCATTAGGGACCACATACCCATATTTGAGGGTGTGAGGAGGGTCCTGCCTGGTATGTGCAGTTTCAATAACTTGGACCGTTAGGGTTACCTTTTCCTAGTCATCTTTCTGCTCTTATCTTGTTTTGGGTTCAGGGTTTAGGGCGGGGCGTAGTGTGACATTTAGGGATGCAAGTCGCTGCCACTAATGTATGACGGTAGTAACCGTAGTATAGCAGCCGATTATGTAGGAATGCGGGCTGCTGGACTTCTTCAGAGTCATCCTCCGCATTCAGTTACAGGCACTGGCAAAATATAGTAAACCCCTAAACCCAACCCTAAACTGCAAACCCCTAAACCCCAAACTCGTGCTTGTGCATGGAGGCACAATGTGTAAAGCCCGAAGCTCGAAGCTTACCTCCTTCGACGAGTTGAATGTTACGTAGTAAGTAGCCTACCAGAAGTGTGGCAAGATACAAGTACGCCTGAGTGGTTCCCCTAACATTACTAGTAATTACTAATTACTGACTTACGAAGACCCCCTGAGCCCTTACCCTGAACCACCATAGCTCCTGCAATAGCCTGCAGAAGTGGATATCCTGGAATTTGATTGAGTCTTCGGTTTTACCTGAAGCCTAAACCCTAAACCCTAAATCGGGTGTTTGGGATCTTGCAAGACTCCCCAAGATTCCAAGTACCCAAGAATCACATACTCTACATAGCTACCATCCTACAACCTAGTACCTAATTATGCGGTCCTTTGGACCCTTGGGGTTTGGGATCTTGTAAGACTTGAACCTAAACCCTAAGCCCTGAAGACTTGTTCTGCTGACTAGGTTGGCAACTGCTCACTCTGGGCTCGCGATGGGGCGATGTTCGCTGGTGCGGAACATGTCGTCGTCTCCTCGCAGTGCTTTGACGGCAGATGGTTTAGGGCCTACAAGGGCCCTTGAATAGAGCCCTTATGGTTAATAGTGGGTATCTGGGGTATGATAGAGGGTAATTAGTTGGGGGTCTAGGGAGGGTTTAGGGTTTAGCGGCTAAGCCGTCAAAACCAAGTCCTTGCAGCCTAAAAACCCGCTTAAACCCTTACCCCCCAAAATCATTAAAGCTTACACCCTCAACCCGGACACAGTACGTGAATACGGATTCCAAGATCTCGGCATTACTGCCTGAACTCCCCCGAACCCTGGTTCTTCGAGACGTAAAGCTTACTGGTTTTCAGGGCTTGTTTAGGGCTTAAGAACCCTAAGGGCCCATGTACCCAAGTAGTATATAGTTTGGGCCCAATGTACCTATATAGGGAGTACGTTAAGGCCAAAGGTACATGGACCCTTACTTGGAGGGTCGGGGGACTTAGCAACTGGTTATTTTAAGGACTTATAAGTACTATAACCCCAATTAGGGTCCCTTTTAGGGTACTTCCAAGTCTACTTACTAACTACTTACTAAGTCCTCCGACCCTCCAAGTAGGGTTTTGTGATTTAGTGTACGCTCAAGCTGGGCTTGGCCAAGTCTCAAGCAAAGGCTTATAGGGTCCTTAAGGGAGGGTGGTTCAAGGGGGGAGGGTACCCATAAGGATATTGTAAAAGGCCGTAGGTCCGAACCCCTGGACAATCCACGATCCCTGGGCATCTAAGCACTCATATGGGTGGTTGTCAAAATTAGGGCCCCTTTTTGGGTACCCTAAATATTAGGTGCCGTACTATAATAAGGATCCAAAAAGGGACCATACTTTTGACAACCACCCATATGTGAAGGCTTTTGGGCCCAAGGACTATACTATATAAGGCTTTTGTGCTATTTGGATGCCCAGGGTATGGAGGCTTCAGCAGTTTGACTACATAAGCTGCAGGGTTTAGGGCTTAAGTTTGTAAGAGAGACGAGGGAGTTCGAGGGGACATTATTCCCAACTGTTCATCTAACACCCTCAACCCTTATGGTACCCTTGTAGAAATTCTTAGAACCTCTAGGAGGAACCCGTTATGGCGCCCCTAGGGATTTCCCTCCCGCCCCTTAGCTGACCGACTCTGAGAGTCATTCCCTGAACCTTAAAACCCTTAAACCCTTATCAACCCCTACCCAGCAAACCCCTAAACCTCTAAAGCCTAAACTCCCAAACAAATGAAAAACCCTGTAACCCCTAAACCCCCGAACCCTAAGCCCCAAAAACCCTATATAAGCCTTACATTTCTAGATCACCGACTCTGACTTCTCCCCAGTGCTCGGTCCAGGTGTCCTCGGCCACTCGACTGCCTTGCGCTGCTTTGCATCTGCCCAGAGAGCCAAATGCCCCTGAATTAAGGAATATAGCTTAAATCATAATATGAATCCCCTTATATATCATTTAAGGTATATTCCTGAATTAAGGGGTATTGGGCTCTCTGGGTGGGTATTTACCAGGTTCCCGAGTAGTAGACTTTTACCCTGTTCATTGTGGGGTCTCCTCATTAAAACCAAATGCTAGGAACAATGGTACCGCTTATTTTAAAGGGCTACTCAGGAACCTAGTTTAGGTTTGGGTTTGAGGTTTAGGGTTCGGGATTCGGGGTTTACCTCGACCCTCCAACAGCCCAAGTACAGGCTCTATCAAGGAGCAGTTCTTTTTTGGTTTAACCAAATTCATAACCAGGGTTTTGTAACGTCATCTCAAAAGGAACTACAATAGAGACTATAGGTAAGCCCTAAAATGAGTCGGTTTTTTCCGGGTCAATGTATATTATAAGTCATTATTGGTTTGGGTAGCAGGTGGTGCCTCGGAATACGGTAGTTTCCGAAAAAAGGGGCGGTTTAGGGTTTAGGGTGTAGTGTGCCTGATTTGGTACCCTAAATAGTAGGATCCTCATTATAAGGAACCCACAATACGGTACCCTCAATTTTCGGAAACTCCCATACGGTCCCCTGGCGACTGCATGTAACGGCCTAAACCCAGAACCTTGGCCGTGCAATCCTATGATCGGCTTGGGACGTGACTTTGAAGCCTACGCCCTCCACGCACTACCTACCTATACCCTAAGGCTCAAAACGGCCCAAAAGCCTTATATGATATGGTCTTTGGGCCCAAAAGCCTTAAAACATGAGTCCTTAGAGCCTTGGGGATAGTCTTCATTGTAGTTACTTACCGGGGTTACTCTCAGGATTAATCTAAAATGGGTTGAACAATCTTAAACCCTATAATAAACCCCAAATTTTGATGACCAGAACGAGGAAGCTATTCCGAGCCCCTGCAGTGTATTGAAGCCCAGGGGCTCATGTACCTTGGGTACGGCCCCCATTCAGTAACAGTTGGATAGTATTCATAATACAGATATATAAGGCCCTTAATCGTAGCCCTATTACAGACTGTTTGTACCCATAAAGTATAGAAGCTGTCCGTAACCCTCGGGGTCCACAGGACCCAATAGTCAGGTACTCGGTTTGAGGATGGTAGTTGCGTAGGTTAGGATTATTGAGAGTATATGATAGTTATGTACTTGGACCCTCGGAGTACTGTACCGGCAAGTAATTCCGTTACGAGCTTTAAGGATACCTTAAAGGAACGCTTGACGGATCCTTGAGCAGAACAACACTCCTCCCGACCATAGGGGCCACGCGCGGCATGAAAATTGCCACTGCCCGCCCCGTCAACGAGGGAAAGCAGGCGGGACTCAAGCCTCCTAGCCTTACAAATCGAGGGACTGCAAAAGCCCTCAAGCAAGGACTTTGTCTTCCAAGACACTGCAAAAGCCCTGACCCTAAACCCTAAACCCCTGAATTAATGAATATGGTTTAGGCTTTAGGGCTTACGGACCTTAAGTTATTGTATGGGATCTGAAAGGATCCTGCTGAAGAGTTAAGGTATATCTTTTTTTGTAGTTCTCTAAAATTGTTGGTCTCTGTTTGGATCCCAGATATAGTATGGCACCCTCATAAAAAGAGCCCTAATATATAGGGACCTAATTCCAAGGATCACTCATCTCCACGTACATTTCCTAATTGAGGGAGCTGGGGTCTCTTGGGAACTATAACCCGTGAACAGCGAGCGTATCGAGGCTTTCGGTGTTGATGCCTGCGGCCTGTCTCTCACTCTCTCTCTCTCTCTCTCTCTCTATCTCTCTCGCTGTGCCAGGGTCCGCATTCTGCTTTGATTTAGGTACTTGAGTCAAACTTTTGCACCCTCAACCCAATACCGATTGGGATCTGAGGATATGGCGACCATTTGTCACGGTCATCATCCTGAGATTCATTGAAGTTTAAGATAGCATCGTTCCCGTCTCCATTTCTCAAAGACCTAGAATATGGTGGTTGCCCGACGCCCGAGACGACGGCTTTGGCCATTGAACCGCTAATCCAGGCGCGTTTGGAATAAGTGAGGCCCCCAGTGAAACCCTAGGAGGATCGAGCTGGAATCATAGGAGGCCAAAAGGGGTTTAGCTTGTGGGGGTTTAGTAGGGATTAGGGTTCCCATAATAGGGTTCATATTTATTCAGGAATCACTACCCCAAGAATCTTAAACCCCCCTTTTGGCCTCCCATCATGGAAGGGTGACATCGACTTCGCTCCTATAAAGCCTAGACCCCCAGTATAACCCTGCAGTGGGATGCAGTTGGAACCCCAAGGGTCCAAGTACCCAATAATCATATACTCTCCAAAATCCGAACCTACATATCCACTATCCTGAAACCGGGTGCCTGATTATTGGGTCCTTTGGACCCTTGGGGTTTGGGTTGGAAGGTTGACATCGAGTTCGCAGATCAAAGCGCCTACCGCTTCCACACTGCCTGGATCAAGGCTCCGCTCCCTCAGCCGGAGGTCCTACCCTAAACCCTAAACCCTAGACCCTACTTTTCCTTGAAAGGCTCCTTAAAAGCTTCCTTACAGGGCGCCTTGAAGGGTTCCTTAGAAGGGCTCTTTAAAGGGTTCGTTAAGGGATGTACAGGGGTTTATAGGGTTTAGGGTCGACTTAGGGGGATCATGGAGCTTATATAATTCAAGTACAGTTATAAGTACCCTAACTGATAAGATGTTTAGTTTAGAAGCACGGGTGCCTAGTACCTAAGTCCCATGATCCTCCAAGTAAACCCGCTAAACCCTGACTGGTAAGCAAGGAGTATATCCGGGTTCTTCGAAGAGCTCGACTGCAGGGTTTCACAAGCTTTTTTGGACTTCGGGTTTGGGAGTTTTGGAGTTACAGTAGAAGCCAGAAAGTTGGAATATCATTATCGTAACCCCTTCAAGGTAAATTATAAGGGGTCCTACCATTAATCCATATTCCAACTTGCTGGAGTTCCCTTTAAGCCTGGAGCTCAAAGCAGATTAGGTCGTGAAGCGTTCGTGCAGCATGCACCAACACTGGAAGCCACATTTCTCTCGGTTTGGAGGCCCTACGACGCCCTACGACACTTTTCCTGAAAACAAGTCTTGATAGGCCCCTTAAAGGAACTGCCCAGAGCTTCCAATATCCCGCAATTAAAGGATGTATGATTGAAGGATACTATTACGTATAGTTCAGGGTAAGTTCCTTAGTTGAGAGGGTTTGGAGTTTTGGAGTCTCTAGATAGCCAGTTTACGGAACTGCTCATGGAGCCGCTCAAGGGTACGGAACCCTTTTGCAGTGGCAGGGCTGCTTTGGATTTAGAGCTTGCCGCGAGGGGTTGGTTTTCGAACTTGAACGACTTCTATACCTTCCTCTTAGAAATGACAAACCGCCTCAGGGGAAAGGTTTTTTTAATGAGGGAAGGCGGTTCGGGTTTCAGTACGGTTGGATGTTCAGGGGCTGTAAGATTCGGAGGCTCATCAGCCTGTCGTTCGAAGTACATTCGGTGTCCTGGGTCCTGGTGGACCCATCACCCTAGTGTCCATGTCTTCACAAAAGATTATGCCTTGGGGGAAAAGGCATCCATTTAAATACAGGTCCCTAAGTATTAATTACCTATACTTTTTCGTGGTTCCTTATCCTAGATATGGTAGATAATATACCCCCAAACCCTAGTCTAATTATTAGCGCCCCTATATTTGGGAGTGTGTGAAGGCCAAGGATTCTTCGAGTTTGGCGGTCAGGTGTTGGAGTTTGGGTGTGAGGGACCCTATCATCGATACCGTGGCATCCGCATAAAGAGGATCCCGATAATCAAGCTACCCTCCTTTCAGAACCCATTCATAAAGCCTGACAAGGCCCTCTTGCATCTCAGAAGCAACACAAAAGCCAGGACTCTCATCCCAGTCTCATCGGCAGTGATTTCTACCGGAAGTCGGCACCAGCCCGAGTCGTGTTTGTCTGGTTGAAGGGCTTTCTAATTGTCAAGAGTGTTGTGGGCTTAGCGCCTCGAACCCAGGGTTGAGGCTTGGCTTGGTGAGGACTAGGTCTACCTAGAGGCTCATACCTTACCCCTTTTTTAGGTTACCTACTCTTCTATATAGCCGATCCTAACTCAAGAACCAGGTGACCAAAAGAAGGGGTAGGGTACGAGCCTATTAGTGAAAGGTTCAATCGAAGAAGTTTTGCGCAGCTATACGGTGTGTTGACACTGTTCTGCTTGTCTGGGTCATGGTTTCGCAAAACTAGTTAGGCCTGATGTCACCGGCAAATGCAAGCCAAGGTCCTGTAGGCTTAGTTGCCAAGGAATGGGTCGAGAAAGCTGTCGGAATAAATAGTCTATGGTCCCTATGTATGTTCTGGTATCACCTTTTTCACACTTTACACATGTATATGTATATGTATGTATATATATATATACATACACATGTATACATATGAAAACCAAGCTTGTAAAGTGTGTAATACATGTGTGTATGTATATCTGTATGTATCTATCTATGTATGTATGTATGTTTGTCTGTATATATGTATGTATGTCTGTATGTATGTCTGTATGTATGTATGTACGTATGTATGTATGTGCATATGAGCGCATGTATGTCTGTGTGTATGTATGTTTGATATGTATGCTACAGTTTTTTCGTTATTGCAGTATGTGTGCATACACAAGAATGCCGTTTGTGTTTGTTTCCGACCCGCGGGCTCAATGAAAAAGGTATTTGGGAGCCTAAGTTAGGCCTACTTACACCCTGCACCCGGGAGGAGATTTCGGAAATGTACGAAGTGGCGGGCGCGGTGTTAAGGATCAACTTGCTAAGAAAAAAGTTAGTCCTGCACGAGCCTACCTGGAGTCTAAACCCCGCGAACCCTGCCAATCCCTCTCTTCTTGTTCTCCCCATAAGCTCTAAACCCTACCTGCAGTCTTCATTGTAGATCCTTTTTGGGTTAGCTTTTTGAATATGAGAATTGGTTAAAGCCAGCCCAAAAATATGAATGGAGCTACGCTGGAGACTAGAGGTAAACCCGGAAGCCCCGCCCTCCCTTCTTCTTCTCGACAGGCGCAAACCCTCTTCGAAAGCGACCAGTACACTGTCGACACTGCTTCGCCCACCTCTGATGGCTCCAAGTTACAGGCGAAGGGTTAGGGTTTAGGGTGGAGACGACATGACGCCTGTGTGAGATTTGTTTTGAACTTATTTTTTCAAGCGAGCCTGTGATGTTATGATCGTGGCGAAGACGAAGGGATGAGGTTCCGGAGTGATACGCAGCTGATGCTCGGAGGAGATCAGGACAAGCAACCCTCGTTTGTCAGCCTGTCACAGTTCACACATTGCTGCAGCCATCATTAAACCTGGATGTGCAGTCATCTTGTGTTTTTTCGCTATCGCTCTCGCACCGGGAAATGATCCATATTCGTTGTTGACGTTATTGCGGTCGTCGTTATTGTTGTTGGTGGTGGTGGCGGTGGCGGTGGTGCTTGTTACCGCTTCAGCCAAGCCCCTCTAGCAATAGTGGGCTTGTTTCAGTAATGTAAGTCCTCAGTCAATGAGCTTGTGATGGCTTCTGCCCGCCCGTCTAGGGCCTAGGGCTTAAAGTTTATGGCCTCGTCGGCAAGGCTTGCAGCTTCACACTTTCGGGGTCACAGGGTCTGCTGAGGGCAACCGGCTGTCCATACCCTTTCAGTGCTTTATATACTCGGGGCCTGAACATTCACAACATGCTTTGCCAGCGTGGATTACGATTTCTCTTGCTAGCAGTATTATTACGATTATTATTGTTACTATATTAGTATTATCTACTGCTTCATACAAACTGAATAGTATACTTTGCAGGTTCACTTCAAGAACGGAGTTGTCGAGAATGCGGTGACCGAGGAGTACGTGTCAACGTGGCTCCACGCTTTTGCCCCGTACGTGGGAGCCTCCGTCGCAGAGTGTTGAAGTTGTCCCGCGTGACATCAGTGTCGCCAACAAATGAAAGATAGTCTATAGTTGGATCAGTTTCCGCCTGCCCGCAAGACCCAGCAACACATAGATGGGTTGTAGGGATCCGGTTGTAAGGTTTCGCCTAGAGCCCCTCAAAACCCCGAAGCCCTCAGCCCCCTTTGAGTCCTTGCTTGGAGGGTCGGGGGAGTTAGTAAGTAGGTGGTAAGTAGACTTATAAGTACCCCAAAAGGGACCCTAATTGGGGTTATGGTACTTATAAGTCCTTAAAATACCCAGTTGCTAAGTCCCCCGACCCTCCAAGTGCATTGTAAAACCCAAAACACTCAACCCTGAACTCCTGAAGCCTAACCCCCCAAGCCTAAACCCTTAAACCCCAAAACCCCAAGCCTAAACCCCTAAACTCCTCACCCCCGTTAGCCCTAAACCCTAAACCCCTTGTCGAACCCTTATTATAGATCCCTTTACAGGAACCCTAATGAGCTCTAAGTTTTTTGTAGAACCCTTATTATCCATCCCTTTAAAGGAACCCCAAGCTCTAAGGACAGCCCTTGAATGAGCGCGCCAAGCCGCCAGTCTCCGACGCCGGGCTTCCGGGCACCGGCTCGTTGTTGGAAGATCTGTGCCCTTTCGGTGTTCCCTTTAAGGGAAGATCTGTGCCCTTTCGGTGTGGATCCCTTTAAGGGCTGGTTTAGGGTTTAGGGTTTAGGGTGCCCTTTCGGTGTGGATCCCTTTAAGGGCTCCTTGAAGAGATCTAAGAGGGCTTAGAGAGTTTATAAAGGGTTGGTGGGGACCTCGAACTCGCCTATGCCCTAAGACCTACCGTCCCAAAGCCTTACCTGTGGCCCCCAAAACATGTATCCTCCCAGGGGTTCTCTTGCTGTGATGTACTTATATGGAGTTCGTGAAATCTGTAAACTGACTTAATGGTTAGGTAGAACATTCAGGCAAAGGGCGTCCTGAGCCATCCACGAGGCACTTCCATGTTTCACTTCCAATCATTTGGGGCTCAAAAATAGAGTTTCGTGCCAGGGGTTCCATGTTTCATATTTACACCTTTATAAACTTGGACTCAGATCGCTACAAACCGGGGTTCTTGTAACCTAAAAATCGGGCTCAGCGGTGAACAAAAATTAGGGTGTAGGGGTAAAGTAGGGCCTCAAATCGACTCGAGTCTGCTGGCCGCGCCCCTGGGAAGGTACCGCAACCGAAAGCCCTGGGACAGCACGCTGGACATGCCCCGTTTCGATGGCCAGCAGATGCTGAAGGCCGGCCCCACTTGAGGTAACAGACAATTTGACTCGGGTTTGGGGTTATAGTCAGAGTATAGTACCAACCACCAAAACCACCGGGAAACTATAATATATCGGTTGTTTTGGCTTCTACGATTCTATTCGGGCCACAGCCGCAGCAACATCGCACTGTTGCCTTGCCAATCGGCCAGGACGAAAGCATGCAGATCGAGTTCCTTGAGAGGACTGCGCACCGTATCTATTCACACAGATAGGTTTTCGGAGACTAAGAAGGAAATTGTGTTGTGTACTTCTGCCCTTGGCATCATGGCACAGATCTTTCATGCCATCAACATCGTTCCTGTGCTCGTGTACATTGCTCCTGTTCTGTTCAGCATGCCTTCCTGCTCCCGGACACCATGAACGACCTTAAACCCCAGGCCAAACGGGCATAGTACCACCAAGATCGAAAGTAATCTGCGGAAGCTTCTGCCGTTCTGAGGAGCTTGTTCTGGGTTGAACCATCGAAGTTCTTCCAAACGGACCAAAATATTCAGCTTCGTAGCCAAACATGTTGCTTATATACTACATGGACTCGCCATTAGCAAGAGGAACAGCACCACCAAAGCTATCTGGCACCTTGAAAACGCTTGTCTTAGAGTGATGATGAGTTTGCTGCTGGTGGTGCAAAGTGGTTGTGATGTCGCTGCATCTTTGGCGCCGGTGGCATTAATGATTGCCGGGTAGTGATGTTGGTGGCGAACTTCCTGCTTATCATGCTGCTGATGTCGATGTTAGCCACCACCAGCAGCAGCACCATCATCAGCATCATCAAAAAATCATAAATCATACTCAACATCATCTTTTCGTCATGACCATAACCCTCATCATATTCGTAATCATGGCCGCCGCTCGAAATTTCCATGACATCAGCAACATCATGTCTACAGAGGGGGCTTGGAATCTACGGGGAGCTCCACAGCAGAAGCATCCAAACAATCCTAAGCATTAGACTGCTAGTATCACAGCCCTGAAACCCGATCCTAAACTCTCTCCACACACCACACTTGTGACCTACACCAAAAAAAGTTCTACACCTTGCGGCTTCGAGCTTTAAAACTCCAAACCCTGTATCCCAGCTTCCTCAAGCTCCAAACAATTCAGGCCTGTCCAAACCCTTACCTGAGCTCAAAAAGCCCTAAGCCTCTACTTGCCCGAAGACTTACAATTTATAATGCCGAAACTCTCAAGCTTGCTCCGTGAACCCAACCCCACCTAAGAAGCACATATTTGCGTAGCCATCAAGACGTCACAGCCTCAATCTCTTTGTGCCCTAAACCCTAAACCCCAAACCCTAAACCCCTGCTTCCCTAACCTCCTAAGCCCAAGACAGTATAGCCGTGAGGATGATGGATCCAGGCATCGTTTTGCTGGCCTGCTCTACTGCCTTCGAAGTTCTGGAGACACATGAGCTACAATAGGAATCTACGGAGCGTGAACATGACATGTTCATGGTTCAGACAAAGAACCCTCTAATATGTAACTATCAAATCAAAGTCGCATGCATGACGAGTCTACTTCGCTGATCGGACAGCAGGGTCTGCATGCGATCAGTGCCACTTGAACAACTACTAGGTAGTGCTTTGGGACATTTTATAGTTGCTCTTATTGGGCTTAAGAGGATCTTACCTACTAATATTTTCAAAGGCTTTAAAAGCACCTCCTAGACTACGAAAACAATGCGGGTACCTGAAATGCAGGCGTGGCTCTCATCGAGAACATTGGAAAGCCCGCAACTGGGTTGCGCAACGACGTGCTGTGTTAGCCATTTATCGAAGTGGCCTTTAGGGTTTAGGGTTTAGGGTTTAGGGCTTTCTCCACCCGAACCAAGGTAGTCGTTGATAGATTCGGACTTCGGACCTTTTATTTCCCTAAGGCTGACTCTAACTACGTAGTGTATACTTGCCATTGTATTCAAAGCTTTTCGGTAGAGGTGCCTAAGATTATGGAACCGCAATTCCGAGCACCTCCTGAATAGCTGAATGAGTACATGTTACGCTTTACTGACAATTTATTGCTGTCTACAGAATCTCATTTTGCCTATGAACTCAGCAACGAAGTGCCTACACAGTACATACTGTTGCTTCGGAGCACCCACAGGCGCCCCTTGAACGCCAAAGATACGTTAGTAACTAGTTACATGAATGGTTGTCAGAATTATGGTCCCTTTTTGGGTACCCTAAATATGTTTTCGCCGTGTTAGAATAAGGACCCAAAATGGGCACCCTAATATTGATAAACACCCACATGGGTACGTATGTCCTTGCCCAGGAAAGCTTCGACCATCTCGACTGTGGGAAGCCCCTGGAGGCCGGCGGAGCACAATTAGGCCCCAAACTAGTTCCTTTTTGGGCTTACCTTACAGGCCCCGGGTTCTAATGAACCCCAAAAAGGAACTACTTTGGGGCCTTAGGGTAAACTATAATATGATCCCTAATATGATTTAAGGATATTTATCAGGACCCTCCTTGTACCCTCAAATAGGGGTATATGGTCCCAAACAAGGGGGATTTAGGGTCTAATAGAGGAGTCTCCGGTCTAATAGAGGAGTCTCCATTGTAGTTCCTTTTTCGGCTTAACCAAATATATAAATAGGATCCTATAAGGTCACCCAAAATGGAACTACAATGGAGACTATAGGTAGGTGGCACTTTGGGAAACTCACTATTGTTCCCTTTATGGTTACTATATAGTTTTGTAGCTACCTTTTCGCATGCACTTTTCGGGGCACCAAAACGACAGCCCAGACACATATTCGGAGAACCAGCCCCTATGGACCTGTAAGGCCTGATGCACCTCGTAGAAGAGCTTTCCTACAGCCTAAACTCTAGCCCCGAAGGCCCGTAAACCTCGAAACCCTTTACCCAAACCGCCATACCAAAAACCCCGAACACGTTATAGATCACCGAAAGAAGCTCATACAGCAAGCCATCAAAAAAAACTTCAAACCCTAAAGCCGTAGAGCAACCCTAAGGGCCCATGTACCCAAATGTTAGATACTTTGGCCTTGAAAGTAGTCCCTATAAAGGTACATTGGGCCCAAAGTTTCTACTAAAGTTGGGTACATGAACCCTTAAACCCTAAAGCCTTATAGGAACCCTTGTAGGAACCCTTAAAGGATCCCTCAAAGGAACCCCTTGAAGGAGCCCCTTAAAGGAACCCCTCAAAAGGGCACATGGACCCTTCGAGTAACCGGGCACTCGGAAAGCCTTTCATCCAAGGGTAAAAGGAGGGACCCTTAATAAGGACCCCTAGGTATATACCCTTAATATAGCCATTATATACCCATTATAATAGCCCATTATATCCTAAACCCTAAACCCTAAACCCTCAATATAGCCTCTTATGGTAGTCATGGTAGTCCTTATAGACCCCTTTAAAGGAGCCCTCTTCCCTTTAGGCTAGGGGTCCATATTAAGGGTCCTTCCTTTTCCCTTAAACCCCCTAAACCCCCAAAACCCCCAAACCCCTAAATCCTAAACCCCTAAACCCCTAAACCCTTATAGAATCCCTGTACGGTTACCCTTATAGAATCCCTATAGATCCCTTTAAAGGAACCCTAAGAGCCCTAAATTAAGGGTCCCTCCTTTTCCCCTTTTGATGAAACTAAACCTTAAACCCTATAGATCCCTTTAAAGGAACCCTACAGATCCCTTTAAAGGGACCCTTATAGATCCCTTTAAAGGAACCCTAAGAGCCCTAAATTAAGGGTCCCTCCTTTTTTTCTTTGTCTCTCAGGACTTCGTCTCGCAGGTTGTGGGCCGGCTCCTGGGTCTCTTTTTAGGATTCCTCTAGAGTTCCTTTAAAAGGGAGCTCTAGGGTTCCTCTAAAAGGGATCTATAGGGTTTAGGGTTTAGGGGTTTAGGGTTTAGGGTAACCCTAAGGGTCCAAAGGACCCAATAAGTAGGTACTCGGTTTTGGGATTGTAGTTATGTAGGTTAGGATTTGGGAGAGTATATGGTTATTGGGTATTTGGACCCTTAGGGTAGGGTTTAGGGTTTTGGGTTTCGGATTCAGGGTTGCTGATAGTTACTGTTAAGTAAAGGTTCAGGGTTTAGGGGTTTAGGGTTTAGGATTTCGGGTGGAGGGTTTCGGATTTAGGGTTTAAGGGTTTAGGGTTTCGGGTTTAGGGTTTCAGGGTTTGGGGTCTAGGGTTTCGGATTCCGGGTTTAGGATGTCGGGTTTAGGATTTAATTTACATGCTTCGCGTCGTCCGCCTCGGCCCGGCCGTGACGGAAACAAGCGCACTGTGAAGAACGACCGCCGCCTGTTCGGGACACGGAACATGCTTTTTGCGTTTAGAAAAAATACGAGGAGGGGAGGGAGGGGGGGGGGAATCGGGGAGGGGGGGGGGGGAAGGCGGCCAAGGGGACAAGATGCGGGAGAAAGGGAGGGGGGCAGGGCAGAGGAAGGTGCATGGACATAAAACTCACTGGAGAAAGCCAAGTTTCCAAGCCTGTTTGTTTTGCAGCTGACAGCTCGCAGGAGGGAAAGGAAAAGGGATAGGGGGGAGGGGGAAGGTGGGTGGGACTGCCTGCAGAGAGCCACAATCCGTTGGAGAAGGCGAGAATTCACCGCCGGACCTTGGGGCGCATCTACAGGTTTCCATGTTCTAGCACCCCCCCGCGGAGGTAGTGGAGAGGGGGATTCAGAGGTGGGGAATGGGAATAGGAACCTCTGACGGCTTCGGCCGGGGCCGAGGCGAAGTTTTAGATACTGCTCCCTCAAAACGAGTTGGAAAGTGGATCCCTTTAACAATTTTCTTTCTTATATAATCTTATCCCTTATAATCATCCCTTGATTCCGGGCTCCTCCACTCTTCCTTACGCACCAGTGAGTTAAGCACCTATAGGGCCTCTTTATAAGTCTTCAGGATTTAATTTGAAGGTAGGTTTCAAGTTTGGGTTCAGGGATCAGAGTTGGAAGTGCGATCCTTTCTTGGTTAGGTATATATTGTAAATTAAAATAACAAGTAGCTCTTCCAGACCCCCCTAATTCGAAGTCCCTAAACCTTGTTTTTCCTTGTTTATTACAAGAAGTATGTTCTTGAACCTTCTTCAGACTTAACTAACCCTAAGTCCCCGAACCCCATGCCCTTAAACGCAGTCTTAAGCCTTTATAAACTCTTAAGCCATAAGCCCTGGAACTTAAATGGAGAGATCCGTGGTTGGACTGGCCTCCCATTGTCGTGGCAACATCATACTCCAATGCTCTCGAAAGCCCTCTTCGAAATACTGAGCCCTTTTGTACCGCCCGACATGTTGCAAGCCTGAAACCCTTGAAACCAAAGTCACACTGAACCGAGGCTAAACCAACATCCTGTGCGGGCGACCCGATTTGGTGTGATCCACACGCAGGCACGGAATGAGGGTACCAGCACCTGTTGATGGATTGACATTTGGTGTCTGGGAGTAGGCTTTAGGGGGTTTGATTTAGGGCTTAGAGTTCAGTCTGTAGGGTCTAGGGCTAATCCAGTGCTTAACAGATGTCTGAAGTTCTACCCCATGATGACGGTGTGAAGGCCCACCTTCTTGAGGCGGATGCAAGTAAAGGCAGTCGGTGGCTTTCTCTGCGGCTTCGGGGTTTAGGGTTTTAGGGGTTTAGGGTTTAGGGGTTTAGGGTTTAGGGGTTTAGGCCCTAAACTTTAGGGTTTACGGTTTTGGGCTCAGTCTTATGAGGATATAGGATTTCGGCCTCTTGCGGCTTCAGTACCTTCGGAGCTGTAGTTTTCTGCTACTGGGGTAGTTCGGCCTTCCAGGATTCCCCGTCTTGGAATATTGCGGAAGATCCGCAATATATCTAGATGTTTCGGGACCGAAGTTTTGCATTGCAGGCTTTGTTCCAGTTTCAGGTCGAGGTCGTTAATGTGGAATCTTTCTAAGACGCATTGCTCAATATCCCATAGTTGCGGCAAGTGGCATTCCGCTCTTTCTAGGGAGCCCAAATCCCATATAGATATATGTCGAAGCCTATTCAGATCTTGTAGAGCTGAGCCATCTTACAACCTGAGCCCTAAACCTTAAACCCCAAACCCTAAACCCTAAACCCCAAACCCTAAACCCTAAACCCTTCGGAAGGCTCGAGGGGAGCAGGCGGGTGCGGATTACGACCACAAGAACCCGCCACCGGGCTTTAGGTTTGAGGGTTCAGGAGTTACCTTAACCCTGAAGAACCTACCCTTTTAAGGACCTATATAAGGAAATCATAGTAGGGAACCCTAAAATGGTAGGTTCTTGAGGGTTTAGGATTTAAGGCTTTTTGGTGTTTGATAGGGTTGCTGGGGTTTGGGGGCTTGGGGTGTTTGTCTTTTAGTGTGTATAGTGTTTCTCTAAGGGTCCATGTGCCCAAACAGTATATGTAGTTTGGCCTTGAAGTAGTCCCTATATAGGTACGTTGGGACCAATGTATTTACTATTTGGGTACATGGACCCTTAGTGTTTGGCTCCTAGACTCAACCGTATGCCTCTTTGGGTTTTAGGGGGGGCCGGACGTCACATCGTTGCTTCAGGACTGCAGGGCCTGAGGCTGGGCCTTTTCGTGAATGTTTAGTAGCCTGCATAATTTTTGGGGGTTCCTTCTCATAGTTATAGTATGGTTGGCCTCCAAACCCTACTCTTATTATTAAGGCCCCGATATTAGTTGTTTGCTGCCGCAGACCTTATAATGTGTAAAGACTTGAATCATCAATCTAAGCATGTCTCGAAGCCCCAAAGCCCGCAACTCTAAACCTGCCACCTTAGGAGTTACACCGAATAGCAGATTTGTGTCCTCTTTCGAGAAACACCCTTGCTGCCAGGACCCGAGCTTTTTTGCACTGAGCTGTGGAAATTTAGTCCTGTAGTCTTCGTACTGTAACCTTTAGCTTTTTCGTGTACTATGATCACTTGGATATATATATATATACACATAATATACACACACACACGTACTTACATCAATATATATATATATATACATAGACTTCTCATATTTCCGGGCGGTAACCACTTTTAGTCCCCAACGGCAACTGGCCATGCCGACCCCAGAGATCCCACGACGAGTCTGTAAAACCCAAAGCTCTCTAAGCTCCTAAACCAAGAACCCCAAGGGTCCTAGGGTCTTAGGGTTTTAGGGTTTAGGGTCTTAGGGTTTAGTGTTTAGATTTTTTGAGGAGTCCCTTACCCCGAGGGTCCAAGTACCCAATAATCATATACTCTCCAAACGCCGAACCTACATAACTACCATCCTAAAACTGAGTACCTAATTATTCGGTCCTTTGGACCCCTGGGGTGAACCCTATATGCCCAGGCTTTCGATGCACACTGACCACTCCGTCTATCATGGCACGCCTGGGTACCTGCAGTTTATGTACCAGGCCAGCCTTTCGCCACATGCGCCCTGCTCTCCTTGCAGCCAAAGTTCAAGCTTTAGGCCTTAGGTTGTGGATTGCAATACCCTGGGGATCGAAATAGCCCAAAAGCCTTATATAGTATGGTCTTTGGGCCCAAAAGCCTTAACGTATGAGTCCTTAGATCCCGAGGGATATTCGCTGAAACCTGCTTTTAATACTTCATGATTCAGAAGCACTGCTGCAGCACACTGCCGAAGCCGCAACACCACACTGCAGGGTAAAGTAGAACATGTGCAACTCCCTGCGAGTTTACTGCGGATGTTGGCTGTTGGCTTCTTGCTTTCTTGCTTCGAGTGGTATCTTGCGTGAAGAAGCGAGACGGGCTAAACTGAATCCCTTCTGAAGTCCCAACCCCAAACACCTAAACAACTGTACAGAAGTGATGCCCGCCAGGCGAGAGGGTCGGTGAGATCGAAGGTGGTCGATGGCCTGATGGTTGCTGAGCACCTCCGCCAAGGGCCCAGAGAAAAATTCAAATCAGCCCAAACACGAAATAATGGGCTACTGAGTTTTGGAAAGTAGCAACGTAGATCAGTTTTGGAAAGTAGAAATGTAGATCAGTTTCTGGAGGAGTATAGGATCATTAGGTACTTGGACTCTTAGGTTTGGGGCTTTCGGGGTTTGGGGTTTACGGTGCTGTTCACGGTTATTTGTGGTTCCTTTTGCGCGTTGCCTGTCGCATGCTCTCTAGACGGGGCAGAGCTCTCCAGCAAAAGAGGCGACCAAGGATAAAGACAAAGCCAGCGACACTATGATAAGTTCTCCGCGTTGAGGGATTGAGGTACTAACTGTCACGACTCAAGATTTGAGGTTTGGGCTTCAGGTTTTCTGGTTGGACATTTCCGGGGCTCAGTAGCTTGACTAAGTAGGTCTAAAAATACACATATACACATATATATACACATACGTATACACATACACATACACATACGCATACACGCTTACACACACAAATATGCATACATACACATTTGTATATGTATAATATGTATACAATATATATATATATATATATATATATAGATACACACACACACCTGTACGCATGTATATACGTATGTTTGCATGTATGCATGCGTGCGACAAGCATGCATAATCATACACACATGTCCACATGCATGTATGAAAGTATGTGTGCGTGGAAGTTGCATGGTTGTGTTTCGGTTTCTGTTTGCGCGTATATGTATATTTATATTATCTACGTATATATGTATATGTATATGTATATTTATATGTTGCACCTGTCTATGTACATGTAAGTTCAATGGTACATGCATATTTATATGTGCATGTGTGTGCACACACACACACTCCTAAACCGCTACAACCCGCAAACCCGTAGGCCCTAGGCCGTAAGCTCTAAGCGCCGAAGCCCTCAACCGTGAGTTCCCTGACCCTAACCCCTAAACCCCTGGACCCCTCAACCCGTACACTGCTGAACCCGAAGGGTTGTTGAAAGCACAGCCCCAAGGTCAGCACCACCCGGAAGACTACGAGCTGCTCCGTGGCGCGAGAAAGGTATGACACTACGATATTATCGGTTTGGTGACGGTCTAAGGTTTAGGGCTTGGAAAGGTTCTGTATGATTTCTGTGAGGGTCCTGACAACTTGATCTAAGCGTTCTTTGAGGGTTCTTATAAGTTGATCTCTGTGGATACTATCAGGGTTCTAGCTGGGCGCTTTTGGTGTGCTATTCGGGTACCGTGAAGGTTCAAGGGTCGGCACCCAGGTAGTGGTGCGTTAGATCCCGAACACTTTGGAAGGTTTTTTTTGCCTGTAGAAGCATGCCCAATACTTGTTGATGCAATATGTAATTACTACCAGGACCCTCCTTGTACCCTCAAATAGGGGTATATGGTCCCAAATAAGGGGCATTTAGGGTCTAATAGAGGGTAGATGGAGGGTCTAGGTAGGTTGGAGGCTTTTGGTGCGGTTGGGATTTAGGATCAAGGGAGTGTAGTTCAGAGTGACTTGCGCCATACCCCGTGGGATGGCAGAAGGTAAAGGCTCTGCCGCTCTACGCACATACACAAAGTAGGTTGCATCAGGCAGCCCCAAAATCCTGAACAACGAACCTCCCCGATAAAAGCCCCATAATCGCCTATAGACAACGGCCCAGACTTCTTAAGATACCTTCTAGGACCTAGAGTAGGCCCTTATTCCCTTTTTGTAGGGTTCAGGTTCCCTTATAAGCCCCTTTAAACCAAAAAGGGCACCCTTTTTATTCCTAGGTTACTCTTGGGTCTAGCCTTTTAAGCCTTGACGAAACATATAGAAGCCTTGTAACAAGTGGGGAAACTCTGACCTTGTTACGAAGCCCTAAACTCCATGGCTAAACCCCTAAAACCATAAACCCTACGCCCTAAGTTACAAAAGTAATTTACGGTTTATTATAAGCCGTAGGCCCAAGGTGACAGACTTCGTATGGGTCGAGGGCAGGTCCAGCTTCGATCGCCTGGGCAAGCTGATTCAAGACGGATTTTCTCCAGTTGGCCATGACGTTTCAATGACGGCAGGAAAAAGACCAGTGATAAAGCTCAAGTCTACCGTTCACGTCTCGGAGGAGAAGTGGGTGTCTTTCACGAAACCAGAAAGACAGGGGCTCGAGAAAGGCTTTGTCTTTGCTTTGGAATGCGAAGAGAAGCAGAAGAAGTTGCACCCCATTGGGTATGGCATCTTCGCCAGTGGCAAACCGGTGGTGAAGATCGGTGCTAAACCCTAGGGTCCAAGTACATAGTAATCATACACTCTCCGAAGCACTAACCTACATGACTACTCTATATCCTAAAACCGAGTGCCTAATTATTGGGTCTTTAAGACCCTTAGGGTTAACCCTTAAATAACCCCCTAAACCCACGCAAGACCCATTCTTTCTCCGAAACCCAGGCTGACGAAGGTCAATGTCACTCACAGCAGCAGGAGGGAAAACGCTGTGCATTTTGTCGTTGCTTTTCGGGCAGAAAGGGCTTCGGGCTTCTAGGGTTTAGGGTTCTGCATAGGGTTGACGGAATTCCGGCATGCGGGTTCAGGATGCAAGGTTTGGGGCCAGGGGTGAACCTTAGTTTTGAATCCTGAAGTCCTAGCCCTAAACCTTGCCCGAAACCCCAAATCCTGAAGTCCTAGACCATACCTATAACGTTTAGCCGATGAGCTCCAGACCATGCACCCCGACATCTCATACCATCCGAAACATGAAGGCCCCTGGTCTTCAGTGATAAAGGTTCAGCATTCCGGAAGGTTTAGGTTTGAAGTGGGGTATACGCGTCTTTCGTGGTTCAGGCGAACTTTGGGGTTTCAAAATCGGGGTTTTTGAAGTTGGTAGAGGTTGACAGCTTGGGTAGCCGGATTCAGCCACACAGCGTAAACTTCAGCAGTCAAGTGCCTACCTATATACGGACTACTTCAAGGAAACAGCATATTCTATATGATTACATGGACCCTTGGGGCTACGCCAGCAGGAACAACATCTATGCGAAGAGCGGCGTCTACCGCCGCGACGCACGAGATGCCCACGACGCCGAGGGCTTTTCCTTCGAGCTGGCGTGGGATCTCAGCTCAGACGGGCCTCTGGGTTTCAGGGTTTGGGGTTGAAGGCTCAGGAGTCGAAGACTTGGGAGTTGCGGGGGGTTCAAGGTTCAGCGTTATAGGTTTTTAGGGTTTTGGTTAACAGAGGATTAAGCTTAAACTGGTCTGTAACTGTAAGGGTGTTGACAGGGTGTTTTTGGGTATGTATAGCATTGCAGCACAATTCTCAACGATACTCCCGCTATCTTCTCGCAGCCACTCTAATCTATATGTCTAGATGTCACTTAAACCCAATTCAAGTCATAAAGGCCCCTGATACAGAATTATACCTTGTTTCAGGGTCTAGGTGGAATGTGGGGTGTAGTAGCTTTCTTAGGTGCAGACGGACTGTAACTGCGCGAGTGGGAGCAGGAGCAGAAGAAACAGCCTTCATAACAGCAACAGGCCATAGGATCCCCCAACCCGAAACCCACATCCTAGTGCCTTAAGCTAGCGTTGGGCAGGTATAGAACCTGTCTAGGGCCAGCCTAAAACGCTGCAAAACCAAAACCCGATAACATCCCACAAAAGCTCCCTAGAATGCTCATACAGGCCTTTACAAGGCCTTTCCTTTACAAGCCCCTATAGCCCTACAAAGCCGTATGTATGAACCTTATGGGCAGCTCAGTGAGGTCCACACTCACCCCGTGCTGACCTTGGACAAGGATGGTCTTCTCGAGAAGGCACTGGGGAATATAGTTTTTTACAGGATTTCAAGATGACCCCTCTCCTTCAATAAGTCCTTTACCATACTTGATAGTAACATAGAATCGAAAAAGGGGGCCGAGAACTCGAGTATTGAAGCTCAAGGGGTCATATCGGTGTTGCGTGCAACACCTACCACTCCGGCACCGACTGTGGCAGCCGACGAGGCCATATCTACTACCATTATGGACTTAGGTCCCAAAAGACCAGCCCTATTACGGCTTTGGGGACCTCATTCCATAATAGTAGTGTATATGGACCCTCTTGGCTACAAGCTCTGTATAGCGGGCTTTTGGGGTTTAGGAATTTCTGGATATGCGCCGGGGTTCAGGCTAGACCAGTTCCCGAAGCCCTCCAAAACCCTGCTCGAATAGAAGTTTCCAGTTTCCCAAACTCCGGCCATTCTGGCTGCCCCAACTTTGTAAGATGTATAAAACTGCACAAAGCCTTCAAAACCTTGTCGCGAAATCCCAGGCGGTTGAAGCTAATTCTATGAAGTTCGACACTGCCTTGTAGAACCCTGCAAAACAATAATCGCCCAACACTAAAAGCCCTATGTAAATGCTATGTAAATGCCTGAAAGCTTCCAAAACCCCAAACTTCGCAATCGTCCAGATCTCTACCTGGACCCCAATCTATCTCGATTAATCGTCTTCTATAGGCGTTGGTTGACCTATTTCATGGGGTTTAGGCAAACCTGATACGAAGGTCGTCCAGTCAGAAACGAAGCGCGGAGTGTCAGCGCTTCCTTTCGTCACCCGGCTGCACTCGAGGGTTTTATAAGGTTTAAGCCTCCATGTACTTATATAGCATATACCTAGGCCTTTAAGTACCTATACAGGAAATCGCTTGAAGGCATGTGTAAATACTATACAGGTGCATGGATCCTTAGGGTAGGGTGAGGGTGCTAGCGTGTTTCATGTATGAGGGTGTTCAAGCTCGTTTCTGGTATCCTGCTGGGTTTTTTCGTATTTTTTTTGTGCTCTTGATTGAAAAGGCTTGTCGACTAAGGTTCGGAGATACAGCGTTACAGCGCAACTCATGCATCCGAACACAGTCCTAAATTTCCAGGAACCCAGTATCAGGCTTAAAGAGTGCTTGGGTTTATTCGGGGTTTAGGGTTCGGAACAGTTTGTAAGAGTATTCCCGTATAGTTAGTCCCCATCCAGTTATGATTATAGTATACTATATCCCAACACCCTGTTCTACTTGTTGAGGCCTGTAACGTAGACCTGCAAGCCCAACCGCTGCAGCACGCCCTTCAAAGTCCCAGTGAAGGAACGCGTCGAGTTTGTTTAGGAATTTAGAGTTTATAAGGGTATAGGGTTCTTATGGGTTAAAGTCGCGCAGAATGACCCCGAAGCTATCTAACATCCGAAATCCCCAAGTCCTGAGACATGATCTCCGAAATTGAAGACCCAAAGTGTCCAAGTATTAATATTAGTATAGTATAGGCTCTTCTCTTAGTAGATATTAGGGCCCCAACAGCATATACTGTGCTGTTGTTTGGCCTCAGAGAGAGAGAGAGACAGAGAGAGAGAGAGAGAGAGACAGAGAGACAGAGAGAAAGAGAGAAAGAGAGAAAGAGAGAAAGAGAGAAAGAGAGAAAGAGAGAAAGAGAGAAAGAGAGAAAGAGAGAAAGAGAGAAAGAGGGAAAGAGGGAAAGAGAGAGAGAGAGAGAGAAAGAGTGAAAGAGAGAAAGAGAAAAGAGAGAGAGAGAGAGAGAGAGAGCGGGAGAGGGTTCCTCAAACTATTACCTGGCCCTTGTGCCCAATGCCCTAGTCTAGTTAAGGGTTGATATTCCTCAAGGTTTACAGACTTTATGTTAATCCATGTTAATCCTAAGCCCTAGAGCCAAAATCCCCGAATCTACACCCTAAGTTAGGCCTTAGGGTCTGCGGTATGCCTTTGCCTTTCATGACACAACCTGCAACCATTTGAAGCCCTTTAGGGGCCGTGCAAATCATAAATTAGAATAGGGCTATATATTAATCAATAATTAGGTTTCTGTTCATGTTTCTTTCAAAAGGGCTTGCCAATCATAAACTAGAATAGGAACATATTAATGCAGGGTTCTGTTCAAGTTTCTTTCAAAAGGGCTCCTAAAGACCAAGACGCGTTCAGACCTTGGCTTCGTGCAGCACAGAAGGTGTCTGAAATTAGACGTCCCGCCAAAAGTAGCTCGACTATAAGGTCTATACCCTAAGGCCCCAAAGTAGTTCTTTTTGGGGGTCCATATATAGAATCCCATAAGGTAATCCCAAAAAGGAACTACTTTGGGGCCTTAGGGCAATCAATTACGCATACACCTACAGTCCTGGTTTCAAGAAAGGCCCTCGTGATTGCTCAGGATGTCTACGACAGATACATGCAGGCGTACAAGAGGTGGACCGCTTTGCTGGAGGATCCTCCGCTGCTGCTATGCGAGCCCTAAGAATAAGGTTCGTATCAGGGATCTACTTTGAGCCCTAAGTAGGTACTGACATGTAGCCTTAGGGATTGCAGGGTTTAGGAATTATCGGAATAGGGTTTGCTCTACGGCTTCCTCGGAGAGTTTGACTCCAAGGGTTCTTATCAGGGTTGAGTCCAAGAAGATGGAGCCCTAACACTCGAAATAGGGTTTTGAGCGTATTTTTTGGGTTTAGGATGTAGGATTCCGGGTGTATATTTTGGTACTGACATATTAAGGAACACTGGTCAATATTATCGGCAATTATTCCCGCCGCTGGATTATTCGGGCTGGCTTCGTTTGGGTTCTGGGCTTAGCCAGCACCGTGAACCCTGAGCCATAAATCCTGAGCCTCCTACACCTTACTCTAAGGCTCCAAGTATTTCTTGTTTATGTTTTTTGGTACCTGAAAAGGCCCTAAAGTCCCATGATAGGCTATAGGGAGTACTGGGACCCTCTGGGTTAGACTCCATAATCCCCAAAATATTTCCGAACCTCAAAGATGTCTTCGCGTTCATCTTGGTGGGCCGCTGGAGTGTCTCTAATTGTTGAGAGTTTGAGAAGATAGGAGACCCAAGAAATTTGCCCTTAGCAGTTAGATGGATCCCTAAACTGGGCATCCCGAACTGTGAGAAGCAACCATGTACACATGCCTACAAATTGCCAGTGCGAGGTTGAAGAAGATCCATGATAGCACTCGAATTACGCTCTTAACACACTTGGAAGCCCTTCGAAGATGCTGCAAAGCAATAACAAAAGGTTTAACACCCGCATCGGAGGGCTTTGGGTGGGACCCGATGAGCCGCCGAGTCAGTAGTTCGTGCTGCGGCTGCTACTTCGCTGCCCAAACCCTAAGCCCCTGTACTCTCTGCTTTCCACCAAGGGTCCAAAGGACCCAATGATTCGGTACTCGGTTTTAGAATAGTAGTTATGTAGGTTATGATTTTGGGTGAGTATATGATCATTAGCTACTTGGATCCTTACCCCCCTTGCCACCCAAAATCTTAAAGCCCAGTAGAACCCCCCCCCACGTAGAGACCCTGAAAAGATGTGCAACACCCCTAATTCAGATTGAGTCCACTCCTGGAAACCCTCGTCGGCATATCGTCCCTACAAGAATCATCGAATAATGTACGCCCCAAACCCACTCATCCTAATCATGAAGGCCTCTTTATCCAAACCCTTACAATCGCCTTTTTCATGACCCTTCAAGAAACCCTGACATTTAAGTTCAAGGCACCCTATTCCCGTTCTACTTATTAAGGCCCCTTTTCCAAGCCCTTATGTACGTATGTATTTCTCAGAGGAACCTTTAAACTGACGGAAACACGCAATCCGATTCCTATCCTACGTTGCCACGAGGGTCCAAGTACCTAATAATCGTAATTAATCGTATACTCTCCGAAACCCTAACCTACATAACTGCTATCCTAAAGCCGAGTACCTAATCATTGGGTCCTTTGGACCCTTGGGGTTAAAGGGACCCTTATCGAACCCTTAAAGAACCCTTAAAGGGACCTTTATAGCACCCTTATACTACCCTTAAAGAACCCAATTCCTGTTCTACCTTGAGTCCTGCATCACCAGGAGCCCCGATTTAAACGCAGCTTCGACTGGCCGGAGCACTCCATGATCGTCCGACCCTCTGAGCCGGGTAGCCCTCAGGGTCCATGTTCCCAAAAAAGGGGTTCCTGTAAGGGATCCTTTAAGGGTTCCTATAAGGGTTTAGGTTTTAGGGTTTAAGGGCCGCGTTCCCAAACAGTATATACTGTAGCTTTAAAGTATAGGGAGTACTTTGAGGACTAACGATTAAATATTCGGTTTTAGGATTGTGGGTTTAGGGTTTAGGAGCCTGGTCCATGTTCCCAAACAGTATATACTTTAGCCTTAAAGTGCTCCTCGCTATGTAGGTATATCGGGCCCGAAGTGTATGCTGTTTGGGTACATGGACCGGGTCGGAATCTTAGTAGTCGGGTAGGCAGCCTTGAACTTGTTTTTGGCGTACTATAGCCCCTTTGCAAACCCTAAACCCTAAACTGAGTTCACTAAAGATGCTGGACAAGGAAGAAATAACTACCAAGGGTTCAGGGTTTGAGGGGTTTAGGGATCAGGGTCAACTACCAAGAGCGAAGAGTATACATACACAAAGTAGGTTCTCAGTAGGGCTATCCGTAGCTTGAGTGAGGTGGGGTTTGGGCGGTTCAAACCCTAAACCCTAAAACCTGAACCTCTGAACCTTAAGCCCTAAGCCCCAGTAATTACGTACTCGGCTTTAGGATAATAGTTATGTAGGTTAGTATTTGGTGACTATATGATTATTCGGTACTTGAGCCCTTGGGAAGGAGACAATAAAACCCTAAATCCCTATAGATCCCTTATAGAACCCTTTCGGGAGCCCCTTAAGGAACCCTAAACCCTAAACCCATTCGGATGTCTTTCAAGGTCCCCAAGTAGCCCAATAGTTCGCCTTGAAAGGGACCCCAGTTTAAAGAGCTGCCCATGGATTAGGTTTTGGATTTAAGGTTTAGGGTAGGGGTCAGCAAAATTACCCATAGTATTCCTTCGGGTTCCTTACTATTCTGAGAATAAGTAGACCTACCATTTTAGAGTTCCTTCTTATGGTTTCTATGTAAAGTTCTTAAAATGGTAGGTCTTTTTGGCTGCAGGTAGAGTTTACCCGGTCTTCAGGCCCCTATACTAGGATTCATGGGTTTAGTTTAGGGTTGAGGGATCTAGGGTTTGGAGTGTTTGGCGGCCGTTTGCAAGGGTTTAGGAGATCTTGTACAACATTCTGGAAGTTCTTTTCTTTTCTTTTCGTAACAAAGCTTCGTAAACGGCAGTTTAGTGCTCCTAAACCTTCAGCCCTAATTCCATAATTGTTAAACTTTACGTAACTGAAATTATGTAAACTAGGGCCCATGTTTGTTTCGGGTGCTTCCGAGACCTGCTCGTAATGCCCCATTAAGGATAACTGTCTTGGGCTCAAGGGGCTCTTGGATGCTTGTGCAAGCAGAGCGATTCGGTTGCACAACCAAGAGCCGCCCCTTACCAAGCCCCTGTTTTTGTTATGGCTACTACATGTTCAATATTATCCGTAATATTTTTAGTATTGTTATTCTTATTATTGTTATCAGTATCATGATTGCTTGGTATTACTGTTGACTGTTCCTGTTCATCATAGTAACTTCTTGATTCTTGTTCGACGCTTTGAGCATGCCTCAGGTGATGAACAACTGGCGGGTTCTCCACAGCCGCGCGGAGGTGTTTCATGGCAGCATCTACACGGAACGCAATACGTCCTGAACCCGATACTATGTGGGGTTTCCGAAAATTCGGGGTAACTTATTTTGGTGTCCTTAAGACAAGGCTCCTACTATTTAGGGTACTAGATCAGGGTCCCCTATTTTCGGAAACTCCCATATCATCCCTGGTGCTGAGCTATTCCCTGAGACTGCAAGTATAGAAACAGTACCTACGTTGGCCTCTAAAGTCCATACATGGTACCTGCGGGTACATCAGTACTTCAGGGTCAAACTATGCGCTATGTAGGAGCTTGGACTCTTAACTCAAGAAGCGAAACCCTGAGTCCTTGACCCTGGCATGTGCCCAGCTGCTGAAGCCTGAATCCCGTAAGCCATATACCGAAGGTTTTTCAAGAAAAACTCGAAGCCCTTGCAGTATATACCTTTATCGGAAACTCTTCAAGGAAAACTGGAAGTAGAACCCTTAAGTGAGCCCTGAGAGGATCGCCCACCCTAGACTAAAACCTCACTAAAGAAACGGGATCTCCACTGAGGGACCCCGGTGTCCAGCGAACCATGGTCTTTGCCTACGTCATGCGCCTGGGATCTTCTGGATCCCATCCCGTGATTCTGGGTCCCATCCCGTGAAGAAGGGTGTGTATGAAGGTTTAGGAATAGTGGTTTAGGGTTTGGGGGCTTAGGGTATGGGGGGTTTTGGGGTTAAGGGACCCTCACCCTAAACCCTAATAATTCCTAAGCCCCCCTTAGGAATTATCGTTTTAGGGCCCTAAACCCATAATTCCTGAACCCTAACCCCCCCTAATTCCTCAGCCTTCGGGTTCCCTAACAGGTTTCCCCACAGGTTCCGTAAAGGGTTAAGTTTTGGGCCTTGGGGTTATACGGTACACGGACGGGGTTTGGCTTGATGAGTGTCACTCGGGCCCCTTAGGATGTAGTGATGTATGAGTGAGGGAGGGGGAGAGAGAGAGAGAGAGAGATAGATAGATACTGTGTGGGTGTGCATGTTTCCCCTGTCGTCAGCATGCTATTAATGATTACTGCTGACAAACCTACATCGGATGGCTTTGGGTTCAGGGTTCAGCATGGTTGCCTGGTGTGCATGCCTTGTACCTGTACGATGTGTGCCTTGATTTACAGTTCAGGGTTTGGCGAGGTTTCGTAAATTACGGTAATTAAATTGCCGCTTTTTGTGGCGAGGTCCCTGTTGCAAGATTGGTTTGCTTTCGCAGGAGACCCCATATAGTACTCTGATGATTCAGTTCAGTACTTGTGCTGGATGCAATTTGGTGCCGGGTTGTGCCTGAGTACGGGCCAAGCCTTAAGCCCTAAACCCCACACCCAACAACCTTAACCCGTTAAACCCTCACCTCTTCAAAAAACAAAAGCCCTGAACTTTATGTAGATGCAAATCCGAAGAGAGGGTCGCTCAAGCCAGACGACTGAGGAAGACCATCTACGAGAACCGCCATCGCCTGCTGAAGCAGCGACAGGCAACTTGACTGCTTGTCAGGTCTTGGACGCAGTTAGGGTTCAGAGGTTTAGGCTTTACGGTTTGGGTGTTTAGGGGGCCGGGATTTCGGGGTTGCTTTGCTGCGACGTGTGGCCTATCATGGAGTGTCCAGCTGCCCAAGGAGGGATTAAGGCTTTGAGGCCTTATAATCCTTAAATCCCGGAAAGAGCCAACAAGGTTGCTTCAGGTAGTGTATGTTAGTTACTTGATTTTTCTCTACCAGTTTGCGAAGTTCCCAAACTCCCAACTAATCAGTACAAGGTTTAGGCGAAATCTGAGCACCTTCAAGCTGTTTTCCGTGAGGGGGTTGAAGGTGTAGGGACGCCACTCACCTTATCAGGATTACATTTCCAGAACCCTAAACCCCAAACACTACAACCGTATAATCACCCTAGAACCCAAAAGATTCTAAGTGCTGAGATGAGTGATACTTACCCAGGCCATTACACTAGCTCCCAGCGTAATTCCCAGTATGGAAACCCTACTTTCCACTACCTGTATGCTCATGCCCTGCACCTTTTTCTAGGTACCTAGTTCTTTAGTTAGGATCTGTTCTAGTAAGTAACCTAAAAAAGGGGCAGGGCATGAGCCTCCTGGTACGACCAGGATCATTCTTAGGGTTTATTATCATTATTATAGTTCGCTATACCCCAAAACCCTATTCTAATTCTTAAGACCCCTACATTAAAGAACCCTACTATAGATCCACTGTAGACCCTTTTAAGGAACCCTTATCTAGGCAACTAAATATTATGGAAGTTCTACTAAAGATCCATTGCAGACCCGTTTAAGGTGGTACTTGGGATCCTTTGGGCCCCGACAATTATAGTACAATATAACCCAAGACCCTATTCTAATTATTAAGGCCCCTACATTATAGAACCCTACTGTAGACCCTTTCAAGGAACCTTTATTTAAGTTAGGCCGTATTATAACGACAGCAATATATAACCCTGATTCTAAAAGTTGAGGATGATCGAACCCTGCTATAGATCCATTGTAGATCCTTTTATCTAGGTACTTGGGATCCTTTGGGCCCCGACTATTCTCAGGGTTTCGTATTATAACTATAGTATAATATGCCCAAAACCCTATTCTGGAGGATCCATTGTAGACCCTTTTAAGGAACCGTTATCTAGGTACTTGGGATCCATTGGGCCCCGAGAGGCAGAGCAGAAGAACCCCGAGATCGACGATAGGTGGCTTTGCCGACTGCCGAATCAGATCCTGCAACTGGGCCTGTTCAAAGCTTGAGGGTTCAAGGGTTTAGGGGTATATGGTCTGGGGTTTAGGGATTAGGGTTTAGGGGTTAAAACCAAGGGTTTAGGGGTATATGGTTTGGGGTTTAGGGTTTAGGGTTTAGGGGTTTGGGGCGTGTTCAAGCCTTGAGGCTTCAAGTGTTTAGGGGTATATGGTTTGGGGTTTAGGGGTTTAGGGCCTTGTTCACACCTCGAGGGTTCAAGGGTTTAGGGGTAAGGGTTTGGGGCTTGGGGGGCCGATTACTTAACTCAATATGAGCGTTCGCAGCTACGCAACCACAGTTACTGTATGATATATGCAACCCGCTCCTAAGCCTGATCTAATTGTCAACGAGCCCCTGCACCCCAAACCCCCAGAATCCTAAGCAACATCTTACATACAAAAGATATCTATACTGCTGTGGCCCTTCAGAACCCTTCATTGAAACCCTGCTCCTTGCTGCCATGCAAGCCTGAACCACGTGAGCCTACATGCACTCTTTTACCCTCCACCCTGAACACTATTACCCTAGACTCCACGTCCTGAAGACCATTGCCCTAAACGCTATGACCCTGATTGAACCTTAACAGATCATATTTTTCCCAAGCCCCTACACGCTTGACCCTTTGACCCTGTCTCCCTAAACCCTATTAGCCCTCTTTAAGTACCCAGAACCCGGAACCGTCTGACCCGAAGCCCTAAACCCTAGGCCCCAAATTCAACCCAAAAACCCTGGACTCTTGCAGCTTTATTGTTCAACTCGCAGACGTGAGCAGCTAAGTCCATTCAAAGGATGCAGGGTTTAGGATTTAGTGCATGGGCTTATGCACCATGTAGGGTTTCGAAGTTATCTAACCGTCGAAGGGCCCGTAGTTTCTGCAGATCCATGTGCACGTTGCATAGCTACGTTGTATAGCTTGTTTTCTTCATAAAGGGTCCTATAGGGTTGTTGGAGTTACTTTAAGAGTTTCTGGAAGGGTTTCTGCGCGGCCTAAAGATGCTCAAAGTGCTTACTGTTTTGGATTTTCACGGGGCCCATGTACCTATACAGGACTTATAAGTTGTCCTATAACGGCTAGTTTTAGGGTAAGCATATGCTTTCTCGCACGGACACTTAAGCAAGGTAAGATCGAAACCAGATTTTCCTAGAAAGGTGGGCATGCTACAGCCTGAAAATCCTTATATAGCTCACCTTTCCTTCAGAGTGGTTTTTGGTTCCTGCCCGAGATGTTGTTAACCTTTGAAAGTGTGACCAAAGAGGCACACAGATAGGCCGAGAGAAGCCGTAGATCTACATACAGGGTTTCCCAAAAGTATTTTGGACCTTATGATAAGGATCCTACTATTTACCCTATCCCTCCAAGGCCAACATAGTTAGAGCCCTAGACCCCTTAAGGACCCCATAATAAGGTCCCTGGAGGCATAGGGTTTAGTGCGAGACAGCGGCCTCTCAGCCAAACCAAGGTCTTCGCTGGTCAACTGATGCTCGGCCAGCTGCAGGAGCTTGCTGGCAGCGCACTTCCTTGAAGTTTGCCCCAAGGTCTTTAGGATAGTAGCTGTGTAGCTTGGGATGCTGGCCCTGGACCTTTTTTGCCCAAGGGTCTTTTCCAATAATGAGGTACTCCTAGTAGTAGAGTAGGCAACCTTTAACCTTTTGTTGGGTAGTATAGTCCCTATATAATCCCTTCATAACCAAAAAGGTTAACCTTTAGTTACCCCTGATACCCGACAAGTAGGTACTCGGCTTTAGGATAGCTGTGTAGCTTGGGATGGTGGAGAGTTTATCGGGGACTTGGACACTGTGAACTCTAAACGCCAAACCCTGGCGCCACTTCTTCGGGTTGGATGACACGAAGGGTCCTAAGTACTTATATGGTAGAATGTAGGGTTCTGTATTAGTGCCTAGGACCCCTCGGTTTAATTTTTCGGGGTGCTCATTTAATTAAGGAATGTATCATAAACCATACTTGGGTTCCCATTATAGATTAAGGTATATTCCTTAATGAAGGGATACTGCAGTCTCTTGGTAAGTTTTCGGGGTTCTCACGACGTGCCTGCGAGCAGAATCAGAACCATCGTCTGCCCTAGGTTAGGAGCCAAAGAAGCACCCAAACTTAAACTTTCGGGTGGGATGTCCCTATCTTATTGGCTTTCTTGAATTGGGGATTCTCGGCTATCCCAACCTTATGGTTTTTGTTTTGGGTCCCTACTAAGCCCATCCCCTCAATTCGACCCGAAGCCCTGCACCGTGCCAGGACCCCCCAAGGGCCCTTTGCTGGAGTCCTTGTGGCCCTTAGTAGTGGGTATTGGGGGTATAATAGAGGGTAGTTGGGGGGTCTTATACCTCAGATTGACGGTCGACTCGCAACCTAAGCCACTCTGCAAAATCAGGAGATGACCGGCTTTTGCATGTATTTTGAGCATCCAGAATGTTGTGGGGGCCTCAGCTTCAACCTTTGGGGTGTTAGGGCTCCGAGATTGGGGTTTCAGCGTGTTGGGTTGAGGGTGATAGCGCTTTGGGGATGTTTAGTTTTAGGGTTTAGGGGTTTAGGGTTTAGGGTTTTTGTGTCGAGGGTGTATGATTTTAGGGTTTGATGTTTTCAGATTTGGGTGAAGGGCTTAGAGCACGGGTCAGCCGATGGGTGCTGTCTCTAGGGGTTCACGGTGGGTGAGGGCGGATTTTAGTATTAGGGTTGCAGGTGCATCTTGTTTGGAGTATATAACTCGGAAGTTCCGGAAGGGTCTTACTTTTCCAAAGACATATATCAGGACATCGTATTACGGAACCTTCCACATGCAGACCGCATAGAGTTCAGCTGAGGTTTCGGTGAGATGGGGTTCGGCTTCACGAATCGACCCCCTTCGTATAGGGCCCACGGGCCAGGGTTTAGGTTTCAGGTTCTCGAGTCTCGTTGAATCCAAACTAGTTTCTTTAAACACAAAAAACCACGAAACCCTGAACCCCAGACCCTAAAACCGCCTAAATCAGAAAGGGAACTCTGAACCCAGAAACATTCAATCTCGAAAGCCACTTAAACCCTCTAGACACCATATGCCAAAGAATTCAATCTCGAAAGCCACTTAAACCCTGTAGACACCATATGCCAAAGGAGCCCTTGCAAGCAAGCCTAACACTCTCTGGTGCGCCCAGGTTCTGGATCATGCATCGACCCAAGGTTTTTCAATGGTTTTTGCTCAGATTTTTCCATGCGACGATGAGGCCGGCCCGTGACAGCTCAAGAGCGACTACACAAGAGGGTTTAGAGTTTGAAGATTTGGTGCTCGGGGTTTAGAGTGGAGGGTTTAGGGTGTAGGGGTAGGGCTCACCTTCAAGAGCGATTAAGGGATTGCCTATAGCCTTAATTCACTGTAGATCGTAAATCCCTTTGTGGTTTACTTAGTTCTATGCTTCGGGTCCTAAAGTGGTGTGACCCAAAAAGAGCGCTCCGGGTTTACCATACGACACCCAAACTTACCGTTTTGTAAGGAACTACATACATAAACATACCAATACGGAATCCTAACAATATAGGTATTTGGGCGGCCGAGTGGGATGGCACACTCTAAACCCTAAGCCTGCAGATTTTAGGGTGCTATGAGTTGGAAATGCTTAGAACCTGAACCCATCAAACCCTAAGCCTAAAAAGGGTTGACAATAGCCCCAACGGACCCAATAATCAGGTATTCGGTTTTAGGATAGTACTTATGTAGGTTCGGATTTTTGAGAGTATATGATTATTGGGTACTTGGACCCTTGAGGTAGGGGTTCAGGGTTTAGTGGTTTGGGGTGTGGCTTGGCGACTTTACTACCAGGCATACCTTTAGCTCAAAACCCGCCTTTTTTGGGTTTACGCTTTAGGGTTTAGGGCGTAGGGTCTAGGCTTTATACAGGTTCTATAGGCTTTAGTTTCAGAGTGTAGGGACTGGGTCTTGGGGCTTGGGGTTAGGCTTCCTTATCACTGTGCCCGTTCAGATTTCCTTGCAAAGTAGGTTCTTGGAACTCTGGCTACAGGCAGGGATAAACGGAGCGAAAGCTCCTGGTGCAGACCCAGGGTAAACTAAGGGTTTACAGAGTTCAAGGTCTTGCGTATGCAGGTTAGTTTTTTGTAATGTCTTTCTGCATAGAGTTTAAGTGTTGCAAGGATTTGCCGGGCTTCGGGCTTAGGATGGTTTTGTGTGCGGTTTGGGATTGTTGCCAGCTCAGGACAACCTTCCCAATTTACTCACAGAGCATTGCTTTTGAGAAGAACGGCTGCGACTATCAAAGACGAAAGTGGTTACTGCCTTAGTGTCAGTGTGATGCTTTCTGTCTCAAAGTTTTTCCACTCATTGATTTGTAGATGTCTGTGAATATACCTGGGCCCGGCTCGTCTCATGAGGTTCTGACGTTTAGGACTTTTGATTTAGGGAGTACAAGTCTACGGTGGTTCTCACCTAAACCCTCAACCCTAACCCCTAAACCCTAAACCCCCAAACCCTAAACGGCCCTAAACCTAAACCCTAAACGACCCTAAACCGCTAAACCCTAAACCCCCAAACCCTAAACCGTAAACGGCAGGTTTTATAGGGTTTTTCTGGTGGGTTTAGGATTCAGGTCTTTTTGGGGTTTAGGGTTTGTTTGCTTTGTTTAACGGTGTAGGGTTTGGGGTTTGCACAGATTTTAGAGTTTTTCTCTAACTTGAGACGTGCCGTTAGTTGCCCGGCTTGAAAGCATAGAGGCTTGATGCCTGGGCTGGGTGGCGGCAGGTTTGCAGTGCGCATCTTCCTCGACTCTAAACTCTACCCAGAGGCTCCATAGTAGTTCCTTTTTGGGAATACCTTATAGACTTATAGAGTTCTAAATGTGAACCCCAAAAAGGAACTACTATGGAGCCTATGGGTAGTTGGAGGGTCCTTCACTTAGTAAGTATATGTGGGTGTGATGAAGGTAGTGTCCTAAACCTTGCTAAAGTTCGCTGCCGTATGTAGAGCGCTGTTGAAATAGCAGCGGCACAAAATCATTCACTGAGTCCCCTGATTTTCAGGTTCCCACAGCCCCAAAACTTGTCGTATTCTGAGTCGACACGAATAAACACAGAACGCATACCACTTGCACACGTGGTTTAGGGATTTATGATATAGGGTTCGGGTTCCTGACAAAGCATTTGGAAACGCAAGACAAGAAGCATTGGTACAACGATTGGTCAACAGTCCTATGCGTAGAAAAGTCGAAACAAACCACAGTGCTCTGGCCCGGTCGATATCCTTTCGGGTCCATGTACCCAAATACTATATACTTTGGGCCGAATGTACCTGTACAGGTTTAAGGCCGCAATATCTAATATTTGGGTACATGGACCCTTGGGGTATCCATATTCCAGTGTATGATAGCCTATCGCAGGCATACAGCCGACTGCCCGTGGCAGAGGGTGGACATTCCTTGTACAAGTGCTTAAAAAGCTAGGATATTTGGGGTTAAGCTAAACACTCTAGACTCTAAACCGTTTCGCCGCCCGGTCAACGTTTTGTACTATCGCGCTGATCTGAGCAAGATCCTGAGAGAGCCTGCAAACGATTGGCGATGCCCCCGGTTTACAAAGTACGTAGGTAGGGTTGAGGGCTTAGGGTATGGGGTAGGGTCCAAGTACGCCAAAGGCTAACCTACACGCAACTACCACCCTCCACCCAAGTGTCTCATTTGTTGCATTCTTGGTGCCGACCCGTACAATGTAGGGTGCAAATATTAGCCGGTCGGATTGAAGCCTCACAGGCAAGAGTTAAATATAGGGACGTAAGTAATTACCAATATTTTTCAGGAGTTCCTTATTATAAGTAAAGTATAATGGTCCCCCCAAACCCTATATTCAAATGATTTAGCACCCTATATTATGACCTGGCACCTGGAACCCACACAGTTGGCAGCTGACTTCTGTCTGTACTGCTTGTCAATCGCAACAGGTTGGAGGACAAGCCGCAATCCCTACTGCAACCCATGCTTAGTGCTGGAATTCTGTCGTTTTGCTTTAACGACACCAGAATCTTGTTCTGGCTTCCACCTTAGGCATGTGCACGACTTGTAGGAATAATGGCACGAATACGGCAACAATGAAGGAGCGAAGAAAAATTGCAACACGCCACAGGCAAACGAGTACTCGAAGCGTCGGCAGGGTTTGGAGAGAAGTCGGGCTGAGGTTCGCGATCATATCGATCATGGGATTCAGACCATTAGGGGTGTCTTCATTGGCGGATCAGGTATAGTTACCTTAGTTATACCCCTAGTTGCCAAGTCCCTTGATCCTCTAAGTACGGGGTTCCTTTTTGGTGTTTCTCGCCTTCTGAAGTTTCCAGACCCTTTCAGCAGACCTTATGCCCCCCAAAATCCTTAATTTTATTCCCCGACCATGACTCCCCAAATCCCCCTTTAATAGAGCCCTTATGGTCGTCAATAGTGGGGTATCTAGCGTACAAAAAGAGGGTAGTTGGGGGTCTAGGAACCCCGTGGTG